TTCATCAACTCCAACAACAAATCGTAATTATCTTTATTATGTAAATGCTGAACCAACTCGAAAACGATCAGTTCAAATCACACATAATTTAACACCAACATCATCAATAAAAGAATCATCATTGAATATTCGTCGAAAATTAAGCGCTATTTCACTACCTGTTCCTTGGCATAAACGAAATCGATCATCAAGTGACGATAAAACATCAACTGGTTCAATTTCTAAAGAATCAAAACAACAATCACAACATCGAAGATCTCATATTTTTCGTAAAATGTCTCGAGATCGTCTATTGACATTAGACAGATTATTTAGCAGTAGTACACATACCACTGCAACAACAAACGACGATGAACCAGCATCACCAATAACTGAATTCACTGCACTTAATGAATCTACTAGATCTAGTGAAAAACCGATAAAATCAATAAAAGAAAATGGTTATTTACGTAATTCACCACGTTTAATGACCAGGTGAGAATAACAAACCTGTCTAGAAATCAATTGTTACATAAAATAATATTTTAAAGAAGGATTAGAATGAGATTATCTTATATTACAAATAGTAATATAAAAATATATCAAAACCACTCAAAAAAAAAAAATAACAACGTGTGTCAAAGCATGTTATCACTAACAGAATATCTAGTTTTTTCTTTATTAGAGAAAAGTAGATGACAATTAATCTTTTTTAATACGTTGATATTTGACGTTAAAACTTTATTATTTTAATTCTTATTTGCGTAATATATATAAATATAGTAACAAAGATTTTCTATTATAGTAAGATCACATCATTCATTCGTTTTATTTTTATTTTCTTCTTATCTATTTGTAGGTTACAATGTACAACAAAAGGTACAAAAGCTTTACGTCTATTAGGTGATGATGGTGTAACAAATGATTGTAATCAAAATAAAGATCAAGCATATCATACAAAAGATTTTATTCTTAATAAAAATACAGCACGTACACCTAATCAACGTCGACTTTTACTAAAAAATGGTGAAGTCAACATTTCCAGGTACTCCTAATTAAATTTTGCTTCTTATTATTCTAGTAAGAAAAAACAACATAGGGAAATTACTATAAGAAATATAAATATATGTCGACCAAAGAAAGAAAAAACAACATGTAGTGTTCTATATTATGTTTCATTAGTCATAAACATATAAATATATGAGTAAAAAAACATGATAAAAGTATTTTCGAAAAGAAAAGATTAACCATAAAGTATATATGAATTTTCGATAGATAAATAAAATATTTATTTTCTAAGACACAAGAATAAAGAAATCATCAATCATCTGTTCAAATATTTCTTTTCTCTTGAAAAGAAAAAAAAAAAGATAATAAATCATATTTAATCTACTATTTATTGAAAAAAAAATGGTTTTTGCTTTCTTCATGTCATGTGTCTTTTCTCTTCGTTTGAATATAAAAATATATGAAGAATAATTGACTTCAATCTACAAATGAAATAAATACTTAATTGCAATTATTATATACTATTCATTTCGATATATAATTATTTTTTATTTTCCATTCTCATTCTTACTATTGATACATATTTTCTTTTTTTTTATTACGATACCTTACAATCGAAATCATGCAATCTATAATGTAATGTGTAATCTGTCAACATATTCAGAATGATTCCATATATATTTTTTTCTCTTTTAGTACTCATCATTTTTATTCAAATAAATAATTATCTATTGACGTCATATAATCAATAAAATACTCGATAATATTATTTCCTTTTTCCTTTATGTAGATATATTATATTAATTGATTAAATTCATATTTTAATAAATAGTTTGCTTCAAATAATAATAAAAATGAAACAAACTATTGTAGTAGGATCATTATAATTATTCAGGAAAAAAAAAAAAAAAAAAAAGAAATAACAAATAGCTTTTATTTTTAAATAAGTACTACTTAAGTTTTTCCGTTTCGTTGATGACTTTTTTTTTCTTCTTTTATCATCTCGATCGATCATTCGATCGATGAATGAATAGAGAGCAGAATGACATAAACAAGAAAAAAAGTACATCATATCAATATGTTTTTCAGAATTATTTTGTCAAACAACAAGAAAATAATTGAATATTTTGTAAAAAAATAAAGAAGAATGTTCAAATAAGGAAATGATTACTCAAGGAAAGTTTAATTATTAAAAGAAGGAAAATTTATATGGAAATATGTACTTTTAAGGCGGACTATTAAGAAAGTTTTACTTATCTAATTGATTAATCCTACAAAGGAAAACATGTTTTTTTTAATTCAGCACATGCAATCCAGATTAAACAATCTTTTTTTTTAATGACGTAGTCAAACATAAGAATGTTTTTTTGTTTTTGTTAATTAAAGAAGAAAATAAATCCGTATATTTTAAAGTTTCATGAACTGAGAATAATTTATATACAAATATCAATTTCTTGAATGTTTTTTTTTTATAATATAGTATATTCTTATTTATATACATATAAAATATTTTTATTTTTATTTCTATGAAATTAGATTTAATATTGAAAAACGTCGTCGTCAATATCTTGCTGATATATTTACAACATTAATTGATTTAAAATGGCGTTATACATTATGTTTATTTACACTTGGTTTTTGTTTAAGTTGGTTAGCATTTGCTTTAATATGGTATTTATTAATGCATATATATGGAGATTTACATCCAGATAATTATAATTCAGCAAATTATTCTGTATGTATTGCTGGTGTACATTCATTTGCTGGTGCAATACTTTTTTCAATTGAAACTCAACAAACAATTGGTTATGGTACACGTGTTGTTAAAGAAACATGTTATTTTGCTATTGTTGTTATTATGGTACAATCAAGTATAGGTGTTTTATTACAATCATTTATGGTTGGTGTTGTTTTTGCAAAAATTTCTCGACCAAAAAAACGTACAGAAACATTAATATGGTCACGTGAAGCTGTTATATGTTTACGTGATGGACAAATGACATTACAATGTCGTGTTGGTGATATGCGTAAATCACATATTGTTGAAGCACATGTACGAATGTATTTAATAAAAAAACGTGTAACTTTAGAAGGTGAAATATTACCATTACATACATATGATATGAATGTTGGATTTGATAAAGGTGTTGATCGTTTATTTTTAATATGGCCATTAGTTGTTGAACATATTATTGATGAACAATCACCATTATATGGTATTAGTCGATCAGATTTAGCTAAACAACGTTTTGAATTAGTTGTTATACTTGAAGGTATTATTGAATCAACTGGTATGACAACACAAGCTCGTACATCATATTTACCATCGGAAATTTTATGGGGTTATCGTTTTGAACGTTTAATTACATTTCAACGTGATGATGGTTTATATCGTATTGATTATTCACGTTTTAATTTAACTTATCCAGTTGATATGATAACATGTAGTGCAAAAGACTTAAAAGAATTACATGAATTAGAAAAATGGCATGAAAATTATCAACATTATAGTTATGAGTATGTTATATGAAAAAGGTTTCATTTTAACAAATAAAAAAGCTAAATATGTTTAGAAAACTTGATATGTCGGTATCAATACCAAATACTGCAACAACAATAACAACAACATCGCCGTTCGTTTGGCAAGAAAAAAGGGAAAGCACTTTGTGACGATCACGTTATTGCATTTCTAATCGTTTATTCATGTTAGTAAATCACTTCTGTTATTCTACTAATACTTTTGTATTTTAGGTGATAGCACAATTGTGCATAATAAAAACAAAAAGCAGTGATTTGGCTCAATGTGGGTTATAATAATCATTTGTTCTTGTTTTTTATTTGTCCAATTATATGAACGGTGGTTAACTTCAACAGATATATATATATTTTTTTTTTCCTTAATGATTTTCTTGTTAACAATTTCTACTTCTTTATTTTTTTGTTTTCTTCCTTTTAATAATTCTATATTCACTTTATCCTAGATACCTGTGTGCACATCTGAGTGCAAATTGATTGTATAGTAGAGTGTATATATTAAATATGTGCCTATTTACAAAAAGAAAAACAAAATTTAGAATTTTCGTTGAAAATTATTTTTTTAGAAGAAAAACTTTTAATTAATTAAAAAAAAAATTTCTTTTTTTTTGAAGTTTATTATTGACGAAAGGAATAAATATCTTCTGAGAATACAATAATCTTCTTTTTAATTATTTAATTAACTTAAAAAACGAATTTTTTATTCAATAAAAAATATTTCTAATATTCAAGATTCTTAGCTCAAAATCGATAAAGACTCATGATAAAATAATTTCTTTGATTTTTTTTTGTATCCAGAAAAAGCTTTTTCAATATCTTTTAAATTATTCCGATTTTCTCTAAAATGTTGAGTTACATGTATATTCCGAAAGTAAGAGTCATTCTATCTTCAAACTTTTTTAACCGATAAATTTATTAAATCTAAGCGATTACACATAATACAAACGTTTAATAATTAGAATAAGTACAATACGAATTAGCTTTGATTAATCATATATGAAAACATGCACTAGTGTCAGGAGATTGATGACTGACGACACCAACTGAAAGATTTTGGTTAAAGTTGAAAAAATAAAATTTTTTTTAAGATTGAGATATCGAAACTTCTTGCTCGGGATGCGTCTAACAATATGAAATAAAGTAAGTAACATACGAAAATAGGAATTTATTGAAGAAATTGACCAATCTTACAAGAATTTTATATTTAAATACAATTTATTTGCAATGTCTAACATCTAAACAAACTATAGATTTATTATTTTAACTGAAAAATCCATAGATTGATGCATAGGATGAAAAATAACGATTGTTTAAAAATAATTTTGAATACATAGTATGAATAGATAATGAATCAAGGATAGCGTAAAGAATGTTACGAGATCTTAATATGAAAGAAAAGTGTTTTTTTGATTTTAAGATTAGACGTTTCTCGATTAATATAATAAATATTCGTATACCATCTGAAGAAAATGGTTCCACTATGAAAGTTTTGACTGAACTTTTTCGTTATTATCAGGTTTCGTTTCATTTGAAGTCTTGCTTGCATCAATGAAAGCTTTTGTTAATGCAGCACCTATTCCAACTTTGATGAAAAGTGCACCTACAGCACCAGTTGCTGTTACACTTTGCATTAAACTAAATATACCTGGAACGAAATGTGTGGCTTGCCACCAAGCTGCCCAAGAGCCAACTGTTACACCCATAGATGTAAAACCGATCCAGCTCAATGCTGTTGGTACACCAAACATACCCACAACACATATAACACCAGTATAAACAGAAGCTCTTTTTACAAAACGAAGTGCAAAAGAGTTTTGTTGATTGTTAGTATTAATTAATTCATTATTATTATCAACAGTTACATCTTTAGTGTCTTGCTTTATTGTTTCCATTTTCGAATTGAAGATGTACTTTTATATAGAAAATAAAACAATTCTTATATATCGATGAATCACTAAGGGGTAGTGGAGCTATCCTATGATCCACTACCTATCTATCTTCTGTCTTCAGTTTCTTTATATTGGCTATTTCATTGTCCTCTAGTTCTCTCGTGTTATCTCTCATTATATGTATTTCTATGTTGTTGTTTATTTTGAAAGGAGAAGAATAAAGGACAAACCAAGAAAAAGTTAGTCGTGACAGACTAACAGTTACCATTATGATATAATAAACTACCCAATGAAAAATATTTATCAAAAAAAACGCTCTACATAAAAAGTGGAAAGCGTCCCAAAATGGAACGATTAAGAATGCATTTTCACCCTTAAGGAAAGTTTTCTTTTCTTCAAAAAAAGGGCTTTCACGTTCGCGGAATGTATTCTTGACTATTACAGTTTAAAATGATGACAAACGCGCTCCAAGATAAGTTTTTCCTATGAGAATTCCCGAGAAATTCCAAATGATTGGCAAAATCTCTAAGGAACACTTGAAAAGCAGGGCAAGAAAAAAACGAGAAATCCTTACAGATTGTCTAGGAGCTGGAACTTCGTAGCCCCTAGGGAATCTACAAGGATTTCTTGTTTTCTTTTGCCTAGCTTTTCAAGTGTTCCTTGGAAGTTTTGTCAATTATTTGGAACTTCTCGGGGCTTCTCATAGGAAAAGTTGATCTAGATTGCATTTTTCAACGAAAGAATGTGAGAAGGGATTTATTGGATTTCTATACCCATACAGAAACCCTTAACAAAGATAAACCGGAATGCTGCTCAATCTACCAATAAAATTTATATCTCTTATCTAAGAAACATATCCTTATCTAAAACAAATTAAATAGAGAAAATATGTCTCTATCTATTCAATCTGAAATCATGAGTTCACTGTCTATAATTAAACTCCATGAAATAAAACTGACTGCTTCTATTAAGATGGAATGAAAACTAAAGAACAACTATCTATATCTCCACTCGATGAAAAAAATTATTTTTCTGATTAAGAACAAATAAAACTAAAGAAACACTAATCTTATCTCTCTTGAATGAAAAAAAATGACTATCTGTATTAAGGTCGAATAAAACTATAGGTAAACTAACTCTAACTGTACCAGATGAAAAAATGACTATTATTATTAAGGTCGCATAAAATTAGAAGAACACTAACTCTATGTCTATTAGGTGGAAAACATGACTATTTCTGTTAAGATGAAAAAAATTAAAGAAAAACTAACTCTATCTCTACTAAGATATAATAAAACTAAAGAAACACTAATTTATTTCTATCGAAAATAACCGAAGAGACACTAATTCTCTCTTTACTAAATAAAAGAAATGATTGTTTCTACTAAGATGTAACAAAACTAAATGAGCAATACAATACAAATTGTGAGAAAAGCTTGTTAAGCTCATCAAAGAGAAGAATTATTGTATACTTGTTTGCTAAACGACTCTGAATTTTTCTAGAATCCTTCTTATTGTTTCACATTTCTTGTATCTATTTTTATTGTTTTTGTCAGTGTATTGTAAATAAGACTGTCACGATATCGACAGTTAAAAGGTCAACGTTGAAAACAGATGTTGATAAAAGAACTAAGAGTTATGATAATAATTTTTTATGCAGAAAACAATGAGAAAAAATTTAATATATTTGAGAACACTGACGAATCCATTTGAAGCTAATCAATATTCTTTCTCAATATAACGGGATAATTTTATGTAGGTTATGAAACGGACGAGAAGGTGTTCTGTATTTTTAAAACTGACTTTTGAATTCACGAGAAAGCATTCGACAATTAAGAGAACGATAGAGAACGCGTTCATCAGTTCGAAGAATTCATTCTCAAGTATCTCTTGAGAGAAGGTCAAATAAAGCATTCTCATTTTGATGGAATCCATTCCTGACCGTTCTAAAAATGAACGGGTCAGAAAGTTTTCTCTTCAGATGAAGAACGATTTTGAACCGAGAAGAACCCATCCCATAAAAACGTAGAACGATAAAGAATGCGTTCCTTCAGATGCATAACTTATTCTTGTCGCTCATGAACACATTCGCCAAACTATAGAACGTGTTCTTCATGGGAAAGGTAACTTTCCATGTTTTGCTGAATGCGTTTACTTCCGCTTTTTTCTGTGATTATTTTTCACTGGATAGTCGAAATACTTTCTCAATTATCAAAAACATTTTTGACATATGTTATTAACATCAGTGTTTTCAATAACCGATGTATCAAACAGAAGTACAATGTACAGAACATCCACTAGATCTGAAATACACATTGTTCAGAACAACAGTGTATACTATATACATTTTGTTTAGGAAATCTACATTTTGATTTCAAATCTTTAAAAGTTGTGTATGTAATATTAAAGTTTATATGTTCTATTAAAGAGGAAAATAAATTCGAGCATCATTGTTTTGTCTTTTAGATTATGAAAAACTTGATTTTTGTATACTTTGATACACTTTGTTGATGAAAAAAAAATAGAAACATGCATATTTTTCTTATGTGTAAAGTGTCAGAAAAAATTTTGTTTTAGATTTTCATACTGATTAACACTAACGAATGAAATCTCTAAAGTGATTAATTAATTTTGATTCAAGTCTTTGTGCATCATGTAGATCCTAATGAACTATAAATATCCTCAAAAGAGTTCGAACTCTTAGTTTATTGCTACCGAGGAACTTCACTTTTATGGTAGTTTTCAAATGAATGTCTTAGTTTCTCCCAATAACAACAGGAAAACTGATATTCGAATTTCGACTTAAAGCTTTATATAGAGACAAGCTTTAATGAGAATAGTTTTTTTTTTGTGAATGTTTCAAATCTTGTCATTATTCTTGTCCTAAAATATACCTAGGGTAATAGCATGTCTGTTACGTCGGTCATACCAACCAGCAGATTTTATGTTCATATTTCAGAAAAAGAGCAAATCATAAGACTTAATACTCTTATAGTAAATTATTCTCGTTAAAACATATCTCTATGCAAAGTTTCAAGTTGAAATTCGAAAATAAGTTTCGCTAACTGGAACCATGGCATTGAATTTTTAAAAAAATGTCCTAAAAATGCAATGTTTCTGCAGTAATAAACTAAGAGGTCGAACTCGTTTTTTTTTAATGGTATTCGTTGTTCATTATTGTCTATATATAGTCTCGATTCAAAAGCGAATAATTAGTTGAGTGTCTTCACTCATAAGTATAGTAAAAAAAAAATAATAACAAGTTTTAGAATTATTCTGCATTAGTTCTGTTAATGAATAAATTAATCATAATAATTTATTTCAAAAGCAACGAACAAAAAAACGATTGCACATAATATAGCTCGGTTAATTATAAATAAAATCTTTTAGTTTTGTTTTCTTTTTTTAAGCATTATTGTTCATATTAATTTTAGTTTTTTGAATTCGATCAGAAAGACGATTTGGTGGTATTTGATTTTTATTTGATGAATTATTTCCATTATGATCTGTAAATATTGGATTTATTCCACTTGATATTTCTTGTGTCTTATCAAGTGATGATTTTGGTGTTAAATGAAGTTGAATCGGACGTGTTAAACTAGTAATATGGTCTGTACTTGTTATAGGTTTGGTGCGATTGGTAAATGAATGAGAACGTTGATGAAAACCATGTTGAATAAAAAATCTTTGCCATAAATCTCGTTTTGGTTTTGATAAATAAACATGAAAAAGAAATATAAAAAAACCTTGAAGTGTATTACATATACAAAAAATTAATTGATGTATAAAAATTGCTCGAATAAGTACTAATATACCAGATAACCATGTACAACCTAAATAAGAAAAAAAAAACAGAAAATAATTTTGTTCTAAATCATTTTCTATAATAATTTACCAATTGATACAAAACAACAAATTGTTGCACCTATTTGTAATTTTGATCGATTATTTTGATTTGTAAGAATTGTTGGATCATGTCGACAAAGACTTTTTAATATAAATATAAAGATTATTAAATTACATGAAACAATAATTGATATTGGTACAAGAAAAGTAGTATAAAGAAGAATTTTATTATTAATCCAACATCGAAATTCTCCTACATAACCATTTTTATCTAATAGTAAAACTAAAATAGGAAAAATTATTGGTATAATCCATCCAATAATAGTAGATTTAATAAAAAAATGTGAAATATATGAATTAAGAATTCGAACAAAATGCATATATTGAATAAAAGTCATAATAAACATCCACATAAATGATGTTAATAAAAAATAATGAAATAAAAAACCAAATATATTACAAACATAATTTTGTTTTGTAAGACTAAATGGTATATAAATACAATTAGCAAATAATATTGATAAACAAAGCATAAATAAAGATGCATGAAGACGATTTTTTTGTGAACATCTAAACAACAAAAAAAAAGAGAAGATTAAAATTAAATATAAATATTCAAAAAAAAAAACATTTTTACCGAAAAAGTGCATAAGTCATTAACGTCATAATAAGACCAAATATTGATAAACCAATACCAATATATGTTACAAATGTTAATATAAATTGTTCAGTAGTTGATAAAGATTCTATAATTTGTTTCGATTCAGGTAACTAAAGAAATAATCAAATTAAAATTCTTTTAACATAAAAGAAATATATATTTCTTGTTAACTATTCTTAATATCGTCGTTCTCAATCGAGAATCAAAACGAATAAGAAAAACTTAATTTCGAATTCGATTCGACTCAGACTATGATTTAGAAATAAAAAAAAAAGAGATTTTTTATTCATTTATAACCGACAGCTGTAGTTGTAATAGAGGGAGACCGTTTCAAGAAGATAGCTAAATTTTATAAAAATCGACTAAAGGTTTTCGGAATTTAAGAGGCTTATTGAAATTCTCGAGTTTGATTTTCTCATTCTAAAAAGGTTCAATTCTCAGAATTTAGTCATGTTTTATAAAATTCAACGATCTTCTTGAAATAAAACTTTCTCAACCGAAAAAGTAGACATTAATCTCATACGTTAAATGTCTTCATCGCTATTCTATACGTGTATGTATAGACTATTGCATCGGTCTACAATGGCATCGATGATCACCTTTACATCTTTAATAACAGTTCATTATCAACGAACCCATGAGAAGTGGGACAGTTTATGTTTGTATCATCGATACTTGATCTATGATAATAAAAGTTTTTTAAATGAAAGATCTTCTATTACATAAATAAGCTAAACAGATACATAATACAGAATAGACAGAAATCACTTGATAATGACTTTTCCTCACTTTACTGTGCTTAACCGTTGTTGACGCACCCGTGAAGTACAGGGAATTCAAGATTATCACAATTAATTATCAATGAACTTCGATGGAATAGATAAAATTAATAGTTTTTAGTGATGAAGAAATCAGTATATTGTTCATGAAGAATATTAGATCAAATACTGGAGCTATAATTAAACTCAATCTATAATTTGGAATATGAAAGGTTATGTTCTTTGAGTCTCGACTTAATTCATTTTTACTTTAAAATCGAAAGACACTGAAAGTTAATAGGAAGTAAAAAGCTGAACGCTCAGCAAGTAGTAGAATGCGAAAAGGAAATAGTGAAGACTTCAATCGTGAAGTTTTTTGAAACTTTTAGAATACGTTTAGTTCATGTAAAATTCATAAGAAAACCAATGAAATTAGCCTGTTTTTCGATGATCTTATTTTAGTAGAATTTTAAATTTCAAAATCATCATAATTAGATTGTTAGGTCTCCCAAAGTCTTTGAAATCTTGAAGTCTGCTATTTCTACGCACGATACCATGACTGTAAGTTCTATAGCTTCAATTATATAACTTATTTCGACAGGAATCTTAAAGGATATTGGCATTTAAAATAAAGAAGTTATATAGATTAGACGGATGAAAAGCTAACATATTCATTTGTGGCTGTTTATTAACTCTCACATAAGCATATAATTTGTGTTGAAATTTCATTCATTTCATGTAAGATTTGCTCATAAACAGCACCGGGATCAATAGCAATTGTGTATAATACTCATGATATTCATCTATGTCATTCAAGTACAGGGCTTTCCAAACATTTGGTTGGACTATAAAACTTGAATAATTCTTTAGCAACTTAATCGATTTGCAAGTTTTTTTCATCATTTAATTCTATATTCATCTAAGTTTTACTCAGCCTATTTCAAGTAAAATGACTGTACTTATGAACATTAGAATATAAATTGTTGCATTAGTGGCTAAATTTAAACGTATCTATAATTATGAAAAGAAGACATCTAGTCAAATTCAACAAAGAAGCGTCAAATCAAAATAGTGTTAATGAGTTCTCTCGTTTTTCTTTATCAAAATGACATTGTAGTAAATTGAACACACTGTAAACGTTTTACAGTCACAATATTAAAAAAATCACTGAAGTTCATGTCGGTAGTAACATTGTATCGGTAAAATGTGTTCTGGCTATTAGCAAAGTTTGTTCAGTACTATGTTGAATCATTATAGATACCAGTAAATAGCTCAACAAAATGAGAATTCTATGAGTTTCGACGATAAATTATATGAATTTTGAAACAACATTTTTCCTGCCATGAGCGAACTCAAACAAATAGTACTATTCAATGAGCTTGATGGTCATGTCATTTGATGCTATTCGAATTTTCTATGGGAGACACATGAAAGGTGATGTCTGCAAGACGCCTACTAAAGACCACGTTGAAACCATAGTAAGAATCGATAATAATAACAAAATGATTTCGCAGAAAATTCTATGCTATATCTTTTTTTTCAAATATTTGGAAACTATGAACTTGCACATGTGCTCATTTTGAACTGTGCGCGCAAATAAAAATAATGCAAAGCAAAACTATAAAAAAAGTGGAATAAAATTTTTGAAAGCTCGCGGATAATACATGAGTTGTTTAAAAATTACTCGCGTTCTTTTTTTGTTGTTTTGATGAACTTTTGAAATATTCTGTATGATTGATCTGATAGTGCGATCAAATAAACTTTCAGACATATCACTATCATCATCTGACGTCAATATAAACTTCAGGTTAATGCGTTAGACTTTAAAATTGTTTTAATTTTTGTGTGGATGCTTTCAGAATGAACTTTGTTGATTATTTTGTTTCACTCAAAGTGTACTGTTTAATTATTGAAAACTTATTTCGATTTTTTTTCAACATACCAAAAGTAATGCAAAATGCGTAAGATGATTACAAGAACATTGAGCATAATCATCAATATATCCAATAAAACGACATCCATTATCCATTATCCATGAACCATTATTTTCATCAAATGACCAATAAATACACGAAATATTACGTGATTGAATAGACTAACACAATTAAATAGAAATCGAATTTTGTTTTATTTATTCAAAATAAATTTTCTTACTTCAGCTATTCGTATTTGAAATCTAACAACATCATTATCTGTTCTAATATTTGTCCAATTAATTATTTGATACGATATTGGTATTCCAATTAATTGATTACTATTTCCATTTGTTTGATTTATTTGTGGAAATAAATTAAAATTTGAGAATACTATTTTAATTATACGATAATTATCAATTGATTCTATTTGTGTTCGTAATGTTCGCATATTAAGTTCAACAATACTATTTGGATAATGATCTGAATATTTTATAAATAAATAAATAAATATATATATATATACAAAAAAGAAAAAGAATTCAAATTAAAGATAAAAGATACCAGATGTTATAGTAAACCATTCACTATCTTTATTATCTTGTTGCCATTGATTAAAATTTATATTTATTAAAGATGTATTCATATTATTATATTGAAATGAAGTTATTTGTTCATTATTATCAATTTGAATTTTTGTTGTAAATAAATCAAGAAAATGAAGTAATCTACTAATAAAATTAATTAAAAACAAGTAGAAAAATAAAAAAAAAAGATATACTACTTATTAGTTATTATTTTCAATGAATAATTTTCAATTTCAATTTGTTCTGTAATATTAATAAGTTGATTGAAAATATTTAATACATTATGTGCTTGTTCAATTGTAAATGAAGGTAAAACAAGTAATTTTTCAAGTGCATCAGTCATTACTGCCATAGAAGCTAGATTAGATACAAAAGAATCTTTAAAATTTAATAAAAAATTATTTAATAAATCATTTTCTTCATTTTCAGTTTCATTAAATCCAATAATCTTTGCAAAATATTTAAATTGTGTTCTGTTAATTGGTTTAAGATCTAAACAAAAACAAAAAAAAAACATCATCCTACAAAATAAATAACAAAAAACGAACCATCCATTTGACATATAACACCTAATGTTGGATTAATACATGAAATATCATTTAATTTTCCTATTTGTTCATATGAACCAGTTTTATCTGGACGTCCAATAATTTCCACACATTGTTCATCTTTTTGAAATGCATTCGATCGATGATTATTTGGTTCACCAGTATTCCATACTGTAACTTTCTTTTTGATTGAAATGATAAAATTTACATGTTCGTAAAAGAACAAAAGAAGTAACAACTAACCTTTTGTCCATCTGATCCCATATAACAAAAGAAAGTTGAATTAGCAAAAGATGTTTCAGAATATTCATCATCACACTATTACGAAAAACAAAGAAAAAGAAATAAAAATTTATTTACTTCAGAGAACATGTCTTCAAGACGATTTTGTGATTTATACAGAAAAAAAAAATTTGTAAACACAAACAATAATAAATTATCTATCGATTTACTTTAAAAGACTGATATGGGCATCTTCAAAGTAAATTGTTTTTCACTAGAATTATCTGATTATAATTTCAAAAATGAAGGTCAATATAAGCAGGGACAATGCTATTATTATAAAAATACAAAGGTGAAAAAAAGTGTTCTTGATAATAAATATTAATTAACGCATGAATAATGTTACAAAGACAATTATATTATGATATAAGCCGTGACAGAACATGATCGCGTGCAATACAAACATGCCGACACCTATGCGTACGATTAATTTATTGAAGGTAAGGCTGACGGCGGAAATACATCTACACAGAGCGCATCCCTTGAGGAAGGACGAAGAACGGAAACGTACACATACAAAGAAAGCAAGACTTAGTAGGCTCTTATAGATCTGATTATATATTAGTAGAAATTTTGAATTAACTCATAAACTTCATATTATCAGATTAATTAAACTCTTGAATGTGAATAAAAGATCATAGGATTTATTAAGTTTGAAACTATTTTTTTTACTGAGCGTGGAAAGATAACTTACGATCTGATGTTTTATAAAAGACATGATTTTTTTCTTTGACACACCATTTTTTCCAAAAATTTTAAATAACTTCCGTTATTTTCTACTTGAAAAATATGTTTTTCTTTGAAAAAAAGCGATTTTTCGAGACATTGAAGTTTTCTTCCATTAAAAAGTTCCATCCTGCTCTTTCAAACGAACAACAAATTAAGTATATAAAATAAAGGCTCACAGAAAATTTTGGATTCCCAAATGAACTTGTTTATTGAATATAGCTCGACAAAATCATGATATAGAGCTGAAGAATTTTATCGTAGTATCTCCACTATAGCTCCAATATATCTTAAAAATTTCATGCGATTTGAATATACCTGGCTCAAGATCAATTTTTCAGGGGATGACCTCTTTCAGAATGTTAAAAGCAACTTTTTCTTGTTTTGAAAAATATTGCATTGTTAATATCATAAAACGCGAAAATGAAGATCAATTATACAATTGAATAATATGAGAACAATATATTATAGCTATGATTGCTGAAATTATATAATATAACAAATCTATGACTTCACTTAAATAATTCTATTAGAATATTGTCAATAGAATTTTATTGATGTAATCGAAACTTACATCTGTTTCATTTTGTGTCCATGTTACATTATTCGACCAAATCCATTTCGATAATGATGAACCATTTTCATCTATATATCGTCTTAATCCAATATAGTAACCTCTTGTTTCTGGACATGGACCTTTACATGTTGTATTAACTAAATAATCTTATAAGTTAATTAATATTCAAAATATGAATTATATCTTACACATATTCGTTTGTTTTAAATATTCAAGTAACGGAATATTATCAATGATAGCTAATTGAAGTCCATATCGTTGACACAATTGTTCAGCTAGTTCATATCGTAAAATTTCTGTAATTCTTATATAACAAATACGTCGAAATTTTTTTACAAATTTTAATGTTCTTGATGGCCATGATGGATTTATACAAGCTGATTGTTCTAAAAATTTTCCTAATCATTTTTTTGTTCTTTTTTTTTTAATATTACCATTTTCTTGTTGACAATCCATTGTTTCTGTACAATATTGTTGACAAGATGAAGATAATTTTTGATGACGTCGATAGAATGTATGTTGTTGTTGATATTCATCAAGACATGACTAAAAATAAAAATATAAATAAAAATTAGAAAGAAAAATTATATTATTTACTTCACGTTGTGTTTCAATTATTTCTTTTGATTGTTCATATGTATTTTCAAAAGAAATTTTTGTTTTTAAAAAATCATTTGAATTTTTTCGATCTGTTTCATAGAATTCTATTTATATTTAAAAAAAAAAAAGAAAACTATCAATTAAAAATAATAAATTGTTTGTTTTTTTCTTGTTACTTGATTGTACTAATATTAAAAAAAAATAAAATTGTAAAATAAATAATAAAATCATTCTATGTTCAAAATCCGAGAAGAAAAAAAGAAAACGAACAAATGTGACAAAGTAATCTATCCTCATCTAGTTGTTTTTTTTTCTTCAATCTCATGAGACTACATTTTCTTCTTTTTTTCTTGTCTAAATAATACTTATATATATATATTTGTGTTTTTTTTCACATTTACACCTTATATAAATGTTTCTATTGGGAAATCAGTTTATCTAATATTCAAAAAGGTGTCAGACTACAAGGTGTTGTTTTGTTCTTTGTATTTCTAATCATTAGATTTTCTCATGAGAAAAAAATATGTACATATATATATCTATATAGAAGTGTTTAATAAATGTTTGATTTTTTATTAAGAAATAGAAACATAAAATAATTAATTTTCTGTGTGTTCTTTTTTTTTGTGTTTTTAAATATAATTGTCAATATGTGAAAGTTTTATTTTGAATTAAAGATTCATAAAAAATGAACTTCGAGAATGAGAAGAAGAAGATCAGAGAATTATTTTTGATCATTATTATGTCAGAATGAATTATAATATTCTATGATGACTGTATATATCATGCAACAAGAATAATGAATCTAATTTATTATAATTCAAACAAGCGAAAATAAAACAATTGATCAATAGGTAGTGTGAAGGTCATGTTGAGAAAGAGCTATTTGAAAATATTGCCTTAGAATCTTATATTTTAGTTAATCGAATGAATTTTATTATGAATAAAGAAAATAGATAATTTAAAAACTAGATGACTTCAGTAGATTTGGAAGTGAAATAATTTTTCTTTTTGTATGAAAATTTGTTAGTTCATATTCATAGATGGTTAAAGAAAGAATAATAATGTACTCATGATTAACAAAAGAATCTTTTTTGTTTTTGGTACGATAGATGTTACAAAAGTTCGTGAAAAAAAAACCGGCGAGTGATCCAGAATAAATGACCGCACTTTGTGTTTATTTCTTTTACCTCTAAACACGTTGTATTAAAAAAAAAAACATACCACAAGATGCAGCATGAAAATTTCTACAATTTACACAGTAAAGCTCATTGTATTTGTTTTCAAAAAAAGTAAAATTTTCTGTAAGCAATTTTCACACGGTCAAAATTTTGTCCATTTTGAAAACAAAAAGTGTAACTATAAAACAAGCGGTCTTACATAAATTGTAGAGCTTTTCATGCTGCATCTCATGGTATATTTTGTTTTTTAATAAATACGTATCAGATGATTGCAAAACGCGACCATTTATTCTCGGTCATCCTGTTATATCTGTGATTGTTGTATATATAAATTATGACTAACACAATATTCCTGTATGAAATATCTCTTCAAATTAAATGCCGTATGCAGTTTATCGTGCTCTTTTTAATGTTATATTGAACGATAAAATCTCCAGTTGCCGTTAGATGCAATCACAGCGTCCATCAACAAGGCTTTAGTAGTAGTGATCGCCTCCACCGTTATTTCAGCACTGCCACATCGCTTTTGCTTTGCTTTTTAGATACGATAAACGTCTCTAATGGAAACCATCTTTAAAAAAAAACATCAATTTTATGTCTTATATTCTTTTTTTCTTTTGACAAATAAATACGAAAAAAAAATAGATACATTCACTGCATATGTATGACTGAGTCTCAGAAACAGAAAAAAAATCCATAAAACCGGTACATAGAAATTAACAATCACTCGGAAAATATTTGAAACGACAATGAAAATAGAATACGAACAGATGAACATAAAAAGAGAAAATAAATTTTAATGAGATAAAAATTACCATTTTGCTTTCGTTGACTTTCTTACAGGTCCACTAGGTCCATCCATTTGTTGTAATTTAGCTGGAAGTTCATTAGGTGATGGATGTTTATTTGTTGAATTTGATGTTAATGATGATGGTGCATCAGGTGGTGGTGTAAATCTAAAAGAAAACAAAGATAATTTTTTTTTTGTGTTTTAATACTTCGAATAATTTAACCTTAATAAATCTTCTGTTTTATTCATATCATGATTAATATTATTAGTCATTGTAACATAAGAATTTCTAGTTTTTTTTGGTTTTTGATCTGAAGCAATAGTTTCAATAGTTGGTTGAACTTGTATATGATTATTAACTGGTAACGTTGTTGTTGTTGTTGTTGTTGTTTTTGGTGGTGGTGGTGCTTGTTTTTCTTGAGGTTCACGTTCACGTTTTTCTCGTTCACGTTTTTCCCGTTCACGTGCATTTTTTTCAGCTAATTTAACTAATTCTTTGTCAAGACTAGAAAAATCAAATAAGTTTTGTTTTTATAATACAAAGGCGACTATAAGTTTTTCGATGATCTTTGTCTACAGACAAGAATATACAGAATGTATTAGAACTATATTTTAGCGATTTTGTGAAATCAATACTGTTGAAAATTGATGATCGTAGAGCAAATACTGAAAAAAAAAAGCTAAGGATGCTTGCGAAAATGAGTCGGAATCAAATATTCGATCTATTGTACAATCTTGCTCATTATCATAAACAATAACATACTGGATTATGACGAAAGATCTTTGACTTCTTTAATAGAGAAAGTCTTTCTCTAGAATCTTACATATATCCCATTCTGTAGAATGAAAAATCTTATAGTCGCCTTTATTTTCATACCCATGATTATTTTCAGATATAACCGGTGGTGGTAATTCTTTATCAAAACCATCTTTTCCTGTAAGCCAATAAGTTTTATAGTTACCTCGACCCTTAAATTTAAAAAAAATCGATGCATATGTATATATATATATGTATTGTTTATAATGAATTTTTACTTTAATTTCTGTAATTCCACGATATTCTAACTGAAAACCACCAATTTCTTCTAATAATCCAGCAGTTGTTTCACTTGAATGAATACGATAAGCTAAATGACGAAAAATTATCCATAAAAAGATTTCAATCAAATATATATATATATTTTTTTTTCCTACATACCCATGCCAGTTGATTCCATTCGAGAAGCTGTATTAACTGTATCACCAAACAGACACTAAAAAGAAAATAAAATCATCTAATTAAAACAAACTTGTTCTTTTTTTGTTTAATCTTACATATCGAGGCATTTTAAGACCAACAACACCAGCAACACATGCACCCGAATGTAATCCAATACGTAATTGTAATGGTACACCAGGCATATGACGAATTTTAAATTTACCACAAGCATGTAATAATGTTAATGCCATGATAGCTATTTCTGAAGCATGTCTCTTACCATTTTCAATTGGTAGACCACTAACAACCATATATGCATCACCAATAGTTTCAACCTTAAAAATAAATCTTAAACTATACAAAATGCTTAAGTTATTTTGTAATTGTTTTTAATATATAAAGGATTGGAATTATCTTTAACAAGCTTAAAGATGAACAAGATTAATTTAGTTTCATGGATAAATAATTGGATTAGGAAAATGTTTAATAAAAAGAAAGAAATTCTGCAAGTTCGTTTAGCTTTAGTGTTAGAAAAAAACAATAATAAATCGATTGATCATATGATTTGATGTTATCACGAACTTCCATACTTATAAACTCGTATCATATTTATTATTCAATGTTAAGGTTTTTTGATTAAAATTCAGTTGTGTTTTGGTATGTAAAGAAACGTTTTTTTGAAATCCTTTCATTATTGGATATTTTTGACGTTAGAAAATGAGCATTGATGTTTTTAAAAATTATTCATTTCACTAAGTTCCTGTTCAAATAAAATTCTTCAAATCAATTACCGACAATTTGAGATTCTCATGAAAAGAAACACTTGTGCATTATTTGTTCATTGAAAATGGGACAAAAGGTTAATATATAATATTGTGCGAACAAAAAAAAAACAACAGTATCAACTTCCTCATAACTCTTTCTCACCTTATAACAATCAAAATCTTCTAGAATTGAATCAAACATTGTATATAAATCATTGAGTAAATCAATAACTTCCATTGGACTACTCAATGCTGATATTGTTGTAAATCCCACAATATCAGAAAAATAAATTGTTACACATTCATACCATACAGCTTCAACAGCTTTACCCGATTTAAGACTCTCAGCAACACTCCTAGCAAGAAAAAACAAACACATAAATCAATAGATTAATTCATTTATTTAAACAAAAAGAAAGACAATTATTTAAAATAAAAATAACATACGGTGGTAACATTTGTGATAATAATTTATCTGTTTTTTTCTTTTCTTCTTCAAGTTGTGTTGTTCGTTCTTTAATTAAATCTTCCAAATTATTTGAATATTGTTCAAGCATTTTAAACATTGTATCAACAATATTTACTTTTCTATGAAAAAAAAACATTATTCAATATATGAATATTAACGAATGATAGAAAATTTTCTTTTTACTAAAGCATAACAATAATTCATCGAAAAGACTTGATACTTTTCATTTTAGAAAGGGCAAAGTTTCTATTACAAAGCTGTATCCTCGACAACGTTCAATAAAGTTTCTCTCATAATGTCTAGTATAACAGACCTTGAAATCGGACCACTTTTTATGATTCTACCCGGCCCAAAGCGGCCCGAACATTGTTTAGACCCGTCCGGGAAGACAAAATATTTCGTTGGACCCGATCGGGCCACCTGGCTGAGCGATTCGTAATATAATATGTTTTTCTAGAGAGCTCACCAAACTTAAGGTTTCACTATAACTTTGATTGTTGGAAAAGACCTTATTTTTCATTGTGAAAACTTCATTAGCGCAAAGGACGTTAGATAAAATGTCAATATCGAACTCAACCAATAACTTTAAAATTTTCTTTTTACCTGTTTACGATGTTCTATGGTAGTGATACAAAAAGACAGAAAATAAGATGAACTTAGTGGATGGAAGTTGCCTTGTAAATTCCAGAAGCGTGCAGAAAACTTTTCCGTCTTCAGGAAATACTTTTACACAGCTTTGTAACAAAGACCAGGCCTTGAAACGGGCCATCTGGCCTGGCCCAACGAAATATTTTGTCGGGCCAGGCAGAACGACTCTACAGAAAAGGTGGTCCGTCCGGCCCGTTGATTTTATTCTTTTTTGACATAATTTTTTTCTGAGATTTGGCCCACCCCTGAGGGGATAGGGGAAACTTTTCCACTCTACCCCTCTCCTTGATCATCAGTTTTTATAAAAGCCGAAAAATATGAAATAGCTGTCTATTAAGAAAAAAAATCTTTGTAAATGAAGTTTTTTTTCGGATCCAGGCCGGGCCATAAAAAAATGGCTCGATTTTGAGCCTGATAAAGACTTTGCTCTTTCTAACAAGTCTCCGTGATGAGTTATTGTCGCGCTATATTGAAAAAAAATTAATATAGAACTTTTGCACCGCTTGTTACTATTCTTTCTATCTATAAATTTTCATTGCGACTGGAAATTTGCCACTGTCACGGCAGTGGCAGTACCACCATGAACATATCTGCTATAAATTCTTACTTTCCACCATTAAGTGATTTAATTGATTGAGCAAGATCATTAAATGATGGTCGTGTTTCGGCTTGTTCAGCCCAACATTGTTTCATTGAATTAATATATTCAGGTGGTGCGGTTTGTTTCGATACAGATGGTCGTAATAGTGGTGGTGGTTTTTTTATTTTAGCAATAATTTCTATATAAAAAAAAAAAAAAAAAATAAAATAAAATAATCATTGTTATTAGTAAGAATAAAAACCTTGTGGGGTAAGATCAAGCATACAAAATGGTGGTCCACGAAGAATAACTTCTTGCATAATAATACCAAAACTATAAACATCACCAGCTGCTGAACTTGTCATTACTGTAGCAACATCATTTTTAATGATTGCTGTACGAATATGTTCAGGTGACATCCATAAAAGATCTAAAAATATTTGAAATTTATTATTTTATGTTGTTGTGTCTCTATTTATACAAACCAACTATTTCAACTTGTCTTGGAGCATTTTGTAAAGTATACATTTCATTTAAATGATAATCTGTTACTTTTAATACCCAACGTGAATCAACAATACAATTTCTTGATTTTAAATTTCCATGACAACGTATAGGTGAATTTGTCAAATATCTCATACCCTTAAACAAAAAGAAAAAGATTCTTTTTTTTTTTAGTTTGCTTTGCAAAAAGAAATAATCATACTCGAACAAGATCATTAAGCATTGACCATTTAAAATTCCAATCAAGTTTTATTTCTTCTTTCTTGAGAATATCCTACAAAGTAAATGTCAATTCAAATATAAAAAATTAAGTTTTTCTTTTTAATTATTTATGTTATTATTTTCCATTGTATTTACCAAAAAAAAAATAAACAAACAACGATGTTGACTAATCTATATAAAATTAATCGGGAAGACTATCTAACTTTGATGAAATCTTTTAGAGAAGAAAATAGTCAAACACATATGGATGTTAAGTAGTGTCCTGCAGGAACAATTTTTTCTTGTTCTGTTTCTCACAGAAATTTCTATGAAGACTTCGAGAGTGAGAACGATACTAAAAAAATGGGCGTTGCCGAAAAACATTTTGCCTATATAAAAACCAACGAGAAAATCTCTCTTTCGGTAATCGAAGATTTCGAACCTTCTACCATGGTCAAGAATACAAAATTTTTGTGCAAAACGTTTTATTGTGATTCATTAAAAAGGTTTTTTTGCAAATCACCAAAACGATTTTGAGGATTTTAACAAATAATGTTAACCTTAGCCTTTTAAGGTTTTCACCTCAAAAAAAAAAGCACTTGAAAACTATTTAAAATTTCAATTTGTCGAGAAATCAATTAAATCTTCTATTACATCCGACTTCCAAGAGGAATGTCTCCTATTGCACGAAAGAACAGATCTCTCATCAGACATCTTCATGACTATTTAAAAATTGAGAAAAGCACATTATGATCTCACCAATGAGTGATTTTCTAACTTCTCGATCCTAGCATACAACATTCAAAAACAAATTAACCAACTATTCTTACTTCAAGACTACCACGATGACCATATTCAAATATCAATGCTGGTGCATTTTGATCAATAAAAAGTCCAAGAAATGTATTAACATTTTCATGACGTAAATCTTTTAATTGTCGTAATTCACGCATAACTTTTGTACGAAGTGATAATGGACCAATGTGTAATTTTTTGACTTCAACTAAATCACCCTGTATATAAATATACATATATATATATTCAAATTAAAATCTTTAATTTTTATTGAAAATAATTTACATTATAACGAGCTGTTTTTCCTGCTTGAATTTCTTCACTACGTATAGATACATTACTACGTTCATGTGGCTCATTTTTTAAATTAACCTTTTTTTTGTATAATCAAAACAAAAAAATAATAGATTGTGAAAAAAAAAAATTTTTTTTTTTGTACAAACTTTGCTTGTAAATATTGAACCTTTTGGCATAACAAACATTAAATCATCGGGTAATAATATAATTTTATTTGGACCTTTAGAAAATTGTTTACGATTACGTTGATTTCTAAGTAAGAATAAGTTTTTTTTTTTTTTTTTTTTTTTTTCTTTTTTACTTACCGGACGATAAAGAAAGCAATAAGTCCAGCAGCACATGCAAGAGCTACACCCAATAATGTAAAAAGTGCAATACGAAGAATGCGCCAACCTAGAATACAGTTTGAAAAAAAACCAAAAAATCATAATTTTTTAGTTTTTTCTCTAATTAGAATAGCTCCAAAAAAAGAATGATCATACAGATTGAATTTTGATTTTTTTTCTTCGTAATGATAGTAACTTCAAATAGTAATTTACATAGATTAGATTCATTTCCAACAAAGATTTGAAGAAAATAAAATTTTTACAATACTCAGAATCCAAAAATAAATTACACAGGCTGATATAACAAATTCTCTAGAAAATGCGACATCTACGAACTCTCTACGACACACGTCAACTGAATTATATCAATTTTAGGAAAAACATAAAAGCTCTTTTTCTCATAGGAAACAGATCTCGAAATCGGATCAGTTTTTGATAGTGTACCTGGCTTTTACTTATTAGCTAAATGAAACTTCTGAAACGTTCCCATAATAAAGATTTCTGATTGTTATCAATAGTGAGATGCAAAATCTATGTAAGAAATTTTGACGAAAACTTAGAATCAAATCCATTCAAATTAGATTTTTTTGTTTTTATTACATGGGAAATCTTCGTTGAAAAAAGAAATAAAGTTCGGATCGGACGGTTCATTTAGAACTCTGATAGAAAATGACGAAAATATCACTTCTGAACTTTTCTTAAACCCTATGTAATTTATTTTCAAGTTCTAAGTACTATAAAAAAAAACTAGATTTAGAGTTTCTTTTAGAGGCCTTGAATTTTGTGAGGATTCAAGTCTTTGTTCGAAACAAATTTCTCTTTGGATTCTTTATATTAATTATCATTATAGACAAAAAACTCGAAATTAAATCAATATGATCAATTTTTTTCGAGTCACTGTAAATTTATACATACCGCTATCTTCTGGTGTTATCGTTGCTATTGTATCATCAAATTGATAACTAATACATACATTTAAATTAGTATTAACATTTATTAATACTGAATCAATAGATTTTAAAATAGCCCAACTACCATTACATTGTCGACCAATTAATGAATAAATAAATGAACGTTGTTGATTATTATCAAATGTAATTTGACCAAACATAGTTGATCGATTTGTTAATGGAAAATCTATTATTGATATTTGTCGTAACAAATCAACACTTTCAAGTTCACTCAAAATAAAAATAATCTTCGAAAGAAACATTAAAAAAAAAAGAAAGAAGCAAAATAAATTAAATTTCTACAAATAAAAAAAAACAACAACTTACATCATCAGAAAATGTCATATTTGATGTAGGATTAAATATGTCTTGTTCATACGTTGAAATCATATCATCTAAATTATTTGTCATACTACTATCCATTGGTAATAGATGAAGAATAGGAATATATGATGGTCCATATAATGTTACATTAGGTAAAAATTGTGTAGTATAAAAACTAACAAAATGATGTGACCAACGAATAAATATAAAAATAACATTTCTCATTGTTGACGATACTGATTGATAAGAAGATGAAATAATTGGATAGAGTGAGGTTTCTTCATCATATGAACATATTATAAAAAAGACTAGAGAAAAGAAAATCATTCGAAATCAATTTATTATTTGTTAAAAGAATGATTAAACAATTAATATTGAAGTCTATAATAAGAACTTAGATTAGTCATTAAATTTTGATTTTTTTTTACGCAGAAAAATTGATTAAATGATTTGTTCAAGTTTAGATTCGATCAATAAAAATTCCAACATTCGAATATAGTTTATAGAAAAATTCTCAATCTAGACTGCATCAATAAACAATTCTTTATCCAGACATAACTAATAAAACATTTTGATTTGATTCTAATTAGTAAACATTTATTTAGATCGACATCGAATCAATCTTGAAAATTAATTCCAAAAACTACACATTTTTGTCGTTTTTTAATCATTATTTCATCGGCAACCATCCACTTAGCATATTATTTATACCAAACGAGACATAGGATCGGAAGGCTAGAATTTCGGCTCGACCCCAAATCCCGGCGACGTTTCATTCCGGGAGAAAATTCATCTTACTGCTACTCATACAATATAGTCTAGCTTCAATGAATAGTTAGCACATTTCCGTAATGCTAAGTAGGACGGCATAGTGCGTAGCAGTGTGATTTTAGATCACATTATAGTTATGATATCCTGTTCAGCATATGACATTTTGTTTTATTTTGACACTCGTTGCGGAGAACTAATAGTTATCTTGTAAGACTAGAACACTTCTAATATGAATCCAAGTAGACTGCTCAACAGTACGAAGTGTATCAACTGATTATAGAAATATGCCTTTTTTTTTGAAGGAATTGATGAGATGAATTTTGGCCCGAGCCAAAATTCATGTAACCCGTGGGATCGGTTCGCGTCGTGTCTTTTGAGTTGAAATATCATTATCATCAGTCATGGAATGGCCCTGGACTAGAGCTCGTAGGGATCAACATTTTTGGATCCGGACTCAGTCGAACTATACTTTGATACTCTCAATGAATTTTTTTAATCAAAAATAAGAGACGTTTTTTTTTCAGGTTTTTTGTATTCGGTGACTAGTGCACTGGATCCAGGTTTTCGGATACGAACCTAATCAGACGGGCTCCTCCTTGGACAAGTCACTAACGACTATTTGTGTTGAATCATCTGCATTCGATAGCATGCTGATTACATTATGAGACATACACTTTCTCTTGTGATTGGTATGTGGTTAGTTAGTGTGTATAAAGAGTTCAAACAGTTTAGAGTAAGAACTCTGTGTCAAGTTAGTCTTCTGTTCAGAGCTACATCTGGAATTAATTGTAGGGAAAATTTCAAGCTACTGAATCTGCGAACACCCAACATCCCATACCATCAAGTAGCTGAAAGGCACGGATATTCTTTCTTTTCTTTTGTAAAAGTTCAAGTCAAACTGATCCGATCTCTGTAGTACACTGATCAATAGCGCGTAATTTTGAACACATCAGCTTCGCTCTAGAATAACTATCTTTAAGTATATGTAAAATAATAGCTTTGTTTCATCACTCATAAAGCAAAAAAAAGTCCTTTGTGTCTATTAATGTATCAACATTAATAATAGATGAATGAGACGTTTCTAAAATAAAAATTTTTTTTTGTCCATTAAAAAGTCAATAGACTAACCTCTACTTCTTAGTGAATAAATTAATGATGATGATGATGAAAAATTTGATACAGATATTAATTTTTCAAAAATATAAGATTTTTGAGATAAATAACTCGAAAATTTTTGTGCTAAATTCAAATAAAATTCATTCGAATCACTTAATATCATTGAAAAATAATGTAAAGAATAATAATTCATAAATGATACAGCTGCTTGTCCTAATTCTTCACTTGTAACTGTCAATCGTAAAATATTGTTTAATGAAGAAACATGAGTAAAACATATTGGAATACTTATATATTTTGTTGGATACTTCAGAGCTATTGCTGATGGATATGAACAATCACCTGTATTCCATCCAAATACAATTGATTGAACATCAGTAGCATTTAAAAGTTTTTCTGTTGATTGAAGTAAATCAACAGTCGATGATGATAAACGTTTTACATATGCTGTATTTGTTAATATTAAACCATTCGAACTTACTAATACATTTATATCACTTGTCGCTGTATGTGAAAATACATAAGTTAAATTATTTAGACATAAATACGATGGAATAAATATAAAAATAATAATAATACTAGACAAAAATTCCATGTGTACAGAAAATTGATCTCTCTTTTCAATCCATTATCTCAAATAAAAAAAGGATAAAATAGAAAACAAATTATATAAGAATTTTTTATTTTTTTTTTTAAGCTCGAAACTTTCTGATATTTATCCAATAAAGAAAATAACATAAATATAGCTATAAAATATTAAAGTCATGTAACAAAAAAAAAAAGCCAATCAGATTTATATAATCTTAATACCTTAAGACAAAACAAATTCTTAAAAATAGTTTAATAATTAATAGAACAAATAAACAGTTTTGTTAAATTGACAGGAGTTATCTAATTTTGAACAAGACTTTTTTTTTGTTTCTTCTTTATATAAAACTTACTTTGTTAGTTTTATCATCAAGATGGATCAAATTTTTAATAGCTTAGAAATAAGATACATCTATTTGTGCACTGAAAAAAATCCGAAATGATGATGATGATTATCGCTTTAAGAAATGCATAGTTTATTTAGATATATATATATGTGTGTGTGTGACATGCGCCCATTATCTCTTATTCTTAATCACACTAATGAAGAGACAAGATTCTATTCCATCTTGTTTCTCTCGCTTTCTATGAATCTCCTGTCTCCTCTGTGCATATAATATCGTTTAATCAAACTCGTTTTCTTTTTTTTTCTCGGCCGTGTTTTCTTTCTTATCTGGAAATGACATGAGAGAAGAAGAGGGGAAGCGAAAAACTTTGTCAGCATCAAATATAAGAAAAGTCTATTCGGTTTGTTAATTCGAACGTAAAAAATGATGAGAACAACAATGACAATAGTAACAGTAAAACATAATTGTTGTTATTCACAAAGTGTGAGATGAAGAAAACAAATTAGAGATAAAAGAGAACGCGATAATCGACAATAAAGCAGAAAGAAAGATAATGTGATAAAATGAATACACTACTGCGCTTCCTTGTTAGCTCATAAGTCTGTGGGTGAAAAAAAAAGTGACATTAAAATGACGAAGTTTGAAGCATATGCAACCAAGATAATTGTGGGTGTCGTGTCATTAGAGACTGACAGAGAAGAAAGGAGCCGATTTCTGCTTACTTTTTCTTCCTTATATAATTAGAATGAAAAAGTATGACTACGTTTAACGTTTCTTTCTATATCTCTAGTTTCCATATAGAAATATTGTTTATTTTTGATAATATCAAAACAAAATTTCTTATAAAAAAAATAATTGTCTATCAATCGATTGATATTCGTAAATTAAACATAGATATTTATTTATAAATATGAAACAAATTAAATTTTGTATTTATTCTATAAACATGTTCATGATATTATGTGACATTTAGACTTACTTATCTATTGACTGATTAACTAAAGAAAAAAATAAAACTAAATATAAAATAAAAATCTATCTGCGTCAAAAAGTTATCTATTTTATTTACACTTGTTGAATATGATTCTGTTCATTGTAAAAAAAAACAAGTGAAAAAAAAAGAAAAGATAGACTACAAAGAAGAATATATGGGAAAGAAATTTTATTTTTTTTCTACTTTCTTGACTCCATAAAACTTGCAGTGCGCGGATGTTGAATATCTTCTTTATCCTTACAGTCATCGTCGACGGTGTAAAGGATGTAGCATGTCACTAATCGGCTTAAAACAGATGCGTCTTCTACGTTGTCATGGTATTTTTTTTTTCTCTAGTTTTTATGCGCACATAGATAAACACATAGATACTATGGAACTGACAATGTAGATTTGAGCTTGATGGATTTAATTAGAAAAAATTGATGCTGTGCAAAACTCATCAAGGAAACGAAGATACACAGAAAGCAAAAAACAAAAAGGTCATGGCTCATTCTAGTGCATCACAACAATAATAATAATAATAATAATAACAAAACAAAAAAAATAATAAAGTTCATCAATTTGAAAAGTCAAATTTACACACAATTGTACCATCAAGATGTGGTACAGGTGTATGAATATCGTCATTATCAATTTCTTCATACACATATGTAGATTTTGATGTCATACCATCATTCATTAAACATATTTCAGATGGATCAGTACGACGTTTAAAATAATAATGACATTCTGTTGTTTGATTATCAAATTTTCTTCCAGCTAAATGATGTATACGAGGTTTAATATCACCTAATGTAATACGCTCAACAGGCATATTCAAATGAATCATATATGGTACATCTTTATTTTGTATAAAACATGCTAATGGTGTTTTAATTGTTGTCGTTGTTGAACTTGTTGAACCTTTAAAAATATAAAAAATATTAATTAAAAATGATTCTTTTTTGTTCCTTTTTTTGGTTTTATTTAATATTAATTTTTGTTCTAGAATGAAATCTTCATAAAAAGAATTGAAATTAGATTTTAAGAATTTCAAACGATATCATAGTTAAAAATTTATGTTTTACATTATAAGAATAAATTAAATATAAAATACTTTGGTAAGAATGAGAAATACAGAACAAAAATTAATGAATATCTCATATATAATGAGATTAATAATAGATTATTAAAAAAGAACGTGTTCAAAAGACATTATAATATATAGAAGACAACAAAAAAAACAACAACGAATAAGATGTTATACTCGTATTATTATCATTTATCAATTTGTTGTTTTAAAAATACAAAAAAACAATTTCATTGATGTAAATGTAAATTTATTCATATGAAATGAATAGGATTAAAATAGATAATGCAACTAATGACAAATTCCTTAGATATTACGTCTATGTTCATTATTGTGACAAGTAACAAGTAATTAAAAAGCTTTTAGACAAGATGTTTATTCACGTTTGATCCACTAGGAAGTGTTTCCGTCGACGAGAATTTTGTTCAAGACTTTTTAAAAGACCTGGAAAGTTACTTTTAATGATGAGCCAACACGGTTTTCTTTGCTCTATAAGTGTCTTTTCAAATATGCTAAAAACTGTTTGACTCAGTCGTTTTATTTCAACGTAAAATGCTTGTCGATTTTTCAAAAATGAGGATTTACGAAAAATAGAAATTGAGATGCCTTGTCGGGCGTTGAAAATCTAGTCGAAACTTATAACTTTTGACTCGTCCGTCCAAGATGAACAAACATCTTATCTAAAACCTTTGCGATCATCCACTAGATGAAGATTTTAAAAAATTTGCATATAGTAGATCTTATCCATGTTTATTGATCTCACGAGGAAAATCTTTCAAGTGGTTAACCTTTTAACAACAGATTTATTTTTAGAACAAATAAATTAAAATTCTTTTTTTAACATAATATAATTTGAAAATTATCAGGGATCATAATTCTTGCATTCAGACTTAATTTTAACATGCAATACTATTATCAGTGGTATCTATCTCAGAACACAGCAAATATTGATAAGGTCTCTTTTACTATATTTCGACTTCGCCGTCAAAGATTTAATCGCTTTTGAATCGGAAGCATGTACATCATCGAAATCTTAATAAGGTATCCATAATTCGAAGAGTTCGAGGCCATAACTTATTATTGCCGATGTATTGCACTTTTACATTATTGTTTAATACAATACCGTGGTTCTATTAAGAACACCGATTTTCAAACTTCGACTTAAAACTTTGCATAGAAATAATCCCTAACGAGAATAGTGAATCGTGAAAGTATCAAGCAATTCGATCTGTTCCTGTCTTGGTATAAGAACATCGAATGTGTAGGTGCATGTGAACAATGTAAAAAATTCGCTTTTATCTTGAGATAGGAACAACGAAAATATCTGAAATTTACACAATAAACTATTCTCGTTAACGCTTGTTTCTATCCAAAGCTTAAAGTTGAAATTCGAAATCAGTTTTCCTAGTATTCTTTAGGGAACCATGCTATTGTATTAAAAAAACATCGTAAAAAAGCAATATGTTGACAGTAATAACCTATTGACACGAACTCTTTTCGGAGTTTTCATAACCCATTACAGGCTACAATAACTAACGAGAAACCTGTTCCAAAGTTCGTGCTTTGTGCATAAAATAGGACCCACTGAGATATGAAAAACTGCAAAGAACAAGTCCTTTTAGACCTTCTCTCTTGAGTTCTAGCCATTCTACTGGAATTTTAGCGCCTATAGAACGATGTATACCAAATAATTGCATGGTAGCATTCCGAGTCGAAACGTTGCCACAGATAGGTCCACTTATAACTAGAATATTCTGCAAGTTACAGCATAAAATATTGTTCCCTTCACGAGACATTAAGTTTCCAAAAAACAGGTAATTTTTTTATCTTTTGTTGGATATCAGTAATTTTTAGAATTCAAATATCTCGTGAAGGAAACAATATTTTCTGCTGTAACTTCCAGCATATTCAAATTATAAGTGAATCTATCTGTGGGCAAAGTTTTCAGCATAGGAGTGCCATCATTCGAATTTTTGGATATTGTCCTATAGGCTAAAATTCTAATAAAATGGCTATAACTCAGGAGGAAAAGCCTAAAGGCACTTGTTCTTTTGGGATTTTTCATGCCTCACTGAAACTATAAAAACTTTATGAATGGTTTTTTTAATTTATCACTGAATGTACACTTCTCTTGCAGCCACTCTTTGAGAATGATTACAGTGCAAGAACTGTCTTTCTTTGTCAATACTCTTTTTTTCCCTACAATGAAGTAACGAGACTAGTCATCTTTAGTTATAGTTTCGATTCCGTCCAGAAATATCTATGTTCTATTTTGATGTATGGAGATTCCAACGAAGATGTAAAAAGGCGTACTGATAATTGATAGAAACTTGGTTGTTTTTTTGTGTATTATAGTTGAATGATTATTTTGTTAATAATAAAAACAAACCTGCAAGCTTAATTAATATTCTTACCGAGTGTTTTATTTCCATTAAAATTTATTAATATATCTCTTTTCCATATTGGTTGTTTTGATGATTTAACAGTTGATGTACTTATTGATGTATTAATTTTTTTTGGTGTTGAAGCATTTCTTCCTTTAATACGTTTATCTTGTTGTTTTTTACTTAAATAATTTTTCCATATTTGTGATGAAAGAAAATTTGAATAGAAATTTTGTTTTAAATATTGTAACATATCTTTCATAGCTGGTTGAAATATTTTATATGGATCAAATATACGTTGTGATATTTGTTGTCGAATTAAATCTTTTGTTGTTGATTGTAACCAACTGTTTGATATTGTTTCATCATTAATATATTGTTTATAAGCAGCACGTACAGCATATAATGCTTGTCGTTTATCTGATGTTAAATTTGATATAGCAATAACAATAGCACAAAATCCAACTAATGATTCACGTCCATGAATTTGTAAAAATTCAGCTAGAAGTGGAAATGTTTCACCATTATAAATAATTTCTGATATTGTTGGTGATGACAGAAATTGTGGACGTTTTGATAAATCTTGGTTACTACCATAACCATGTATATAACGATTTGATAATGATGTTGAATGACAACTACGTATTGAATTTCCTGTACGACGCGTACATTCAGTATCGCTATACATTTCTATTTTGCTTTTCTCACAGAATGTGTATATATATATATATGAATATGAGTAAGGTCAGTATGAAAATGACCGACGAAAAAGAATTCATTCATTTCTTTTTTTTTTTTTTTTTCTTTCGTCTATCAAACAAATGACTATTTTTCGTTCGTTTTCTCGTCGTCATTGCTATATTTTATTATTTATTTGATCTTTTGTATTATATACCGACACCAGACAAAGCTAAGAAGAAAAACATCTGTTATGTTAAACAAAAAAATAAACGAACAATAATAAATACATTTGGAAATAATTTTCTAGAAAACATTTCAATATGATGAAATTTGATCGATATAATAAACTAATTTTGTATATTTATTTATTCATTCTAAATAATGTTTGATATTTTAATCGTAATAATAATAATAATAATAATCAATCGGAACCGTTTCTTTTTAAAATTAATCAAATACGATTATATGTAGGATAAGAGAGAATATGCGTGCTATAAAAAAAAGCCACAACTGTTTTTTTTTTTCTATAGATGATTATCTAACGGTCAATTTTTCGATTGATTAATAGATTTTATTTTCACACATTGACAAGACTTTCATCATAAATTAACACTAGATTTGTTTCATTGAGAACAAAAACACATTATAACATTCAAATTCATTTCTTTTTTACAATCATTGAAACATCATTAACTTAATTCATTTTTGAATGCATATTGCATCGGCTAGTCAATGAACACATCGAAATCATAATGACAAGTAATCTATCTAAGATATTAGACATTGAGAAAGACTTGAAATAAACATATTAAAACTTGACAAAAAAAAAAATATTGAGATCGCGTTAGTGATATTAGATTCATTTTTTTGTTTTTGTTAAATATTGTGTAAGAAGTATTCTTGCTTTATGCATAATATCGTTCATTCTTAAATCGAACGATGATATCATCATTTTTGCACATTAATATAAACTGATTAGACTGTTAATATGTTTAAATGATTATGTGTTTATTTGTCATGGGAATTGTTGATTTTGTTTTCTAAAGTTTTTATTGTTCTTTGATGAACAATTTTAATCAATGAATTTATTATCAATAAGAAAAAAAATAAATAAGACATGAGATGGTTTATGTGATTTATTTTTCATTGATTATTTGATCGAAAAGAAATAAGTAATGTACGTGGATCTTCACTTCAACAACACTCATACTATTCTATTGCTTAGTTCTCTTCTGGCAAAATGAGATAACAAATATAGTGACATAAAATAATATGAGAAAAAAATAAGGTCATACAGATAATCTTAAGCGGCAATCATGGTAAATCATGCTGTGTGAAGTTTTTTTTTTTTTTTGTCGGGTCTTGATCTTATTGTTGTCTCAATTGTAGTATAACGAGTTTTATCTATGGTTTGATGCATATTGGATAAATCGGCTAGTTCAAGAGGTGTGCTTAAAGGGATGAACTCATCTTTTTATGTTGCGTATCGATATGATAAGACATTGTTTATAAGTGTTTTTAAGTTAGTGAAATCGTTTTTTGATCTGAAAAGATGACAAGTTATCAATTGAGTCTTATGGATGAATTAGCTTTTGACATAAATGTATTATCTGATACAAACGTACTATACCTATTAATCATGAATACGAACTCTGTTATCTATTGCGCATGAATAAATTTGATGATCAAAAGATAATATTTCTCAACATTATATAAGAAGAGTAATGTAATGGTGATCCAAAATAGCCAATATTTGGAGTATTGCATTTTTTTTTTACGAAGAGAGAACTTCTAATAGAACGATGTCATCATGCACTCTCTTTATTATTAGAATATAGAAATTATAGTGACAAAATATTAAATTTTGAAAATACAAGTTACAAAACTATTGTGATCACTGTTGTTTTGTACAACACAATTTGTTTGATTTTTGTATTTAAATCGATGAAATATTTATGAATTGAAAAATTGAATATTAGTTTTATTACTGCAAAATACAGATCGTCATGATAAATCAGAAAAATACAGAAGAAAAATAAAATAAATCAAAATCAAAATCACAATCGAATAATTTCGTCTGACGCTTGAGAATCTTTATTTAGTTCTTGTCTATCAAAAGCTGACCACCATTTAGCTAATAAACCTTCACGTACAATTCTTGTAAACCATGGTGTTGTTACACCTTGTTCAACAAGATCTTCACATTCCTTTAATGTCATCGCTTTTATATGTTTTACTTCATTTTTATTTATTTTAAAATCATTTAATAAATTAAGTTGAGAATTTTGTTTATGTTTTGCAATAATAATATAATCAATTTCACTTTCACCAAATATTCCATCATCAGGAATATTTCTTGCTTGATAAAAAATTCGTGTTAAATAAATTAACTCTAAATCATATTCATAACCAAGTTCATATTTAATTCGACGTATAACAGCATGTTTAACACCATTAATACCATTTATTTCAATATCATTATATAATGGATGACTACAACATGTATTTGCCCATAATAATGGATATGTTATTTTTTCTGATGAACGTTGTTGTAATATAAGACGTGATGGAAATGTTGAATTATCAAATAAAAAAAATGAAAATGCTCGATGAATTAATGATTGTTCACTTTCAATATTTGATAAAAGATGTGCATCTTTTTTTGTTGTTTGACCAATAATACGATCATTTTGATCAACAATCATTAATGGTTCATAAAGTAATGATACTTGTTGTGGATCATATTTATCAAGAAAATCTAAATTTTGGTGTTTTACTAATGATGCTAAATTACGATAAGATGATACTATAATATTAATTGGACACTGTATAATAGATTTTATCATCTTTTATCTAAAACAAAAAAAATTAATATAAGTAAGTTTGATAAATCATTGAATACTCAAAAGTATTCCTATCTCTTATTTCAATCATATATGATGAAAAGATATGATTTAGTTGTTTTTTTTTTTTTGTTGTTTTGTATTTAAAAGTATACAAAACAAAAACAAACAAATAGAAAAAACATTGTTATAAACAACAAATGACATTATTCAAACCATTTTTTCTTTGTTTTTTGTGGTAGTTGTAATTTATTTCTTGAATTTGCAATCATTCGATCAAGATTATCTCGTATTTCACCTTTAGATTTTGTTTTTGATCGTTTTTTCTTATTTTTTATCGTTTCAATATTTGAATTATTCATAGATTTTATTTTATTATCAATTTCCATGGAATCTTCATTATCATTTTGTGAATTATTTAATTCGTCATTTATTTGTTGTTGTTTAATAATTTCACTAAGACGAATTTTATTATTTTGTTGTTCAAATAAATCTTTTCGTTGATTTTTTTTATTCTTATTACTTTCAAATGATAATGTTTTATTTGTTGGATTTTTTAATAATTCTTGTTTAGCACGTAATCGTTCATATCGTTCTTCTTTTAATTGTAAAGCACGACGATTTTCAATTGAAAATTGAACAATTGGTCGACGATTTGAACCAAATATATATTTATTATTATTAAGTAATTCAATAATTCTTAATGCTATTTCATGACGAGATACATTAATAAAACCAAAACCTACGAAAAAAAAAATAATAATAATAATAAAGACAACGAACAATACTTAATTATTATATCTAGTTACATTGCTTTTTATGATCTTTTAGTAAAAAAAAATTGAAAATATGCAGGTGATATCGTAAGAGAACGACAATATAAGAAAAGGAAAATTTTGAGGTAATATATATATGCATGCAAATTTATGTACTAATAAGATCACGTCATATATAGAACGATAGTATATTTCTAAAAGCGTTGCTCACACCATATTAAAAGAAAAAGATCATCGAAAGAAGATCGTACCATATTGAGATAAAGTAATATGTTATCAAAACGGAGGACAAAATAGTAACTGAGTAAACAAGGATTACATCAATAATATGAATATATATCAGAGCTGGGCATAGGATAACTTTTTCTGTCCTGTAAGACAGGACAGGACAAGTAAGCATTCTTATTTTGACTTTTGGTCACAAACCTACATATTGGTTTATTAGTTATCTTATAGCTAATTTATTTCATATCATTTTCAAATACAACAATTAAAGTTTTTAATAATTACTAATGACATAAATACAAGAAAATATAAAAACATTTTCATTTATTATTTTAATCCTTTTCGCTCGAATGTTGTCAAATGGCAACATCGAGCCGTAGAAAAGGACCAAAATTTTAAAATTCGCTTTTCGTCCGCAATATACTATGCCATATTCTCATAGAAATATCTCTCTTCCTATTAATGGGAAGAGGTCTTCTATATTCTGATTGGAATATGAGCACTTCCGCGCAGCTCCTCCCAGTTTTACGTCGACTTTTTTTCCTGACAGAATTTAAGTATGCTAGTCTTGTAGTCCTTGTCAACTGATATAAAAATTAATGTCAGGTTTTCATTCATCTCATGGACTAACTGCAGTAGAGCAGGCTCAAAAGTTGATTTTATCAAAAAACTACCTATTTTATTCTTCATGAACGTTCTTTCGAAATTTTGATTTAACTGTTAGATAGAGTATACAAAGTTGTCTATGTAAAATAGTTTTCAGAACTAGATCTCTAGAACTCATTGTTTGGAAAGATTTGCAAATTTGGGGAAAATGGCAATTTATACTAAAATTGAACTGACTCTAAAGTTTATTCATTCACTTCAAAATAAGTGTTAGTGTTAGTATGAGTCTTCTGTTCATCTATATTCACATCCCTCTATCCAATGATTAAATCGAAATTTCGAAAGAACACACACGAAGAATAAAATAACCAGATTTCGAGGCTAATCTTCGATAAAATCAACTTTTGAGCCTACTCTGCTGCATTTAGCATATGAATCGAATAAAAACTAAATATCCATTTCTGCACGACTTGGCGATAGCTACCACACTAACATATTTAAATCTTGTCAGAAAAACGTCGATGTAAATCTAGGAGGAATCGAAACATCCTATACATATCTGTACCTTGTTTTTTTTTGAATTGTCTTTATGAATAAATGACAAAACCACAAAATATTGCATTTTAATAGCTGAAAACAAAAAACTGAATTTTGACTCACAGAGGCCTCATGTTATCAAATGACAACTTAAGGCCATTTGAGGTACCGAAACACTTTTTTGTTCCGATAAATACTTTTTCTATTCCCGTGATAAAGGAATAACAAATATGCAGGAAGATATTTTTTACTACCTGGTCTCTACTGATCAGCCAGAAAGGAATAGATCTCAATATAATCTCTGTATATATATATATATACTTTATAACGTCTTCCTCAATATACTAAATCTGTTGAAAAATTTTGAAGAGAGTTTCAAAATATGCAACAACACTAATGATTTTTGTCTCGAATTAACTTTGACAGAGTTCCCGCAGACTTCCGCCAGAACAGTAAATTAGAATCAGATATGTTCAAATTTTCTTTCAAAGGGATAAGATTAAACAATTATCAAGAAATTTTATGAAAAAGTCCAAAATTATATCAGTACAAAGTAAAATAGCGATTTTGATGCACTGCTTAGTTTATGACCTTGGAACAGTTTGAACTCAAACGTTATTGTAGAATACTGGAAGCGTAATCTCATCTATCCGTTTCTACTAAATAGTTAATTTCTATAGAAATTGGCATTGATAAAAGAATCGCTATTTCAAAAATACAAAAGTTTTCAAATTTCTTATGCAAAAGTAAATAGCACAATTTGTATAGGGAAACAAAATTGAGCCATTGAAAATTGTTTTGAACTCTTTTCAGAATATTTATAGCTTGTTTGGATGTACATAATGAAAATAGTCTCAACTCAAAAGCAATTTATTAGTTAGAGGACTTCTCTTGTAAGTAGAAACAATTTGAAAGATAAATATATACTAACCAAGAGATTTTTTAGCATCTTTAGTTGTTTTCATTACTCGACATTCTCTAAGAATAATATCTTTCATTGGTATATTATCTTTTTTTAATATATCAATAATTATTTTTCTTAATTTATCATCATCAATATTTTTCGGTAAATTATGTATACTTAAACGTGTTGGTGAAATAAAATGTAATAGATTTTTAAGTTTTTGTTTTTTAACATCTTCTAATTTTTGTCGTTTTTTTAAATCATTTTCATTTCCATCTAATTCATTTAAATTAAGTATAACACCATAATTAGCAAGTGATAAATTACGTTGATCATGTTTTTTTGTATTTTCTTTTTTTTTATCACGTAATTCTTTTGCTTTACTAAGTTCATCACGACCTAATGCCATATCAATTTGTAATTCTTGTCCATGAAGTGTATATGATAAATTTAAACATTCTTGTGTATCATCGGATGAAGCAAATTGAACAAATGCACTACCACGTGGATGTTTAGATATTGGATCAATAACTAAACGACACGATTGAATACGATGTTGACCATTGGATGATAAAATATTTTTTAAATCATCTTCAGTAGCATCAAATGGTACATTGCGAATAAATAATGTGCGATGTTCACGTACATCACGACTACTTTCATTTGTTCTTGTTTCTAAATAGAAATGAATAATAATAATAATAATAATAGCATTGAAATAAAAATACCATATTATTCTGCATCTTTTGGTGTAATAGATTTGAGTTCTAAAAATGATAAGAAATCGATATGATGCATCAACTTATACATCTAAGATACATGTATATTTAAAATTCGGCTTAAAATGAATGTTTTCTCTTCATAAATATATTTTTTTTTGTATAGAATACTGCGGTTTAATGCGCCTTTCTTTGTTCTACACAATGCATATAAACACTTAACAACTACTCTTTTTCTACTGCAAAATATATGGGTCAGAAAAACAAATCTATTCGTGAAACTTTCTCAGAAACTAAGCCAATATTTCCTCTAGAATGTTGCTTTTCGTACAAATAGTCGAAGCTAGTTGAAAAGAGAGTATTTCGTCTGATAAATGTAAAGAATTCCATATTTGGATACTCTTTGAACCAGTGAATATTGTAGAGAAAATATTGGCGCATTCTATGAGAAAATGTCACGAATAGATTTATTTTTATTGCAGAGAAAAAGCAGTTGTATCATTTGTAGCACATCCTGACCTATGTATTCCACAGTAGAGAAAGAGTAGTTGTTTAGTGTTTATATGCGTTTTGTAGAACGAAGAAGGGCGCATCAAATCACAGTATTCTATATAAAAAATATTTATGAAGAGAAAACATTCGTTTTTAAGCCCGATTTTAAATGAGTATGTATTTGAATATACAAGCTTGATAAGCCATATCGACTTCTTGTCATTGATAGAAATCAAATCTTTTACACCAAAAGATGCAGAATAATGTGACATCTCATGTTGTATCTTTTTAAAGAAGCTTTTAGGAAATGGTATATGTTTCATTTTATCATCTGGGATACTTTACTTGATACTTCTTCTTCTTCTTCATCCTCAATTGAATTTTCTTGTTCATCTTCATCTTCTTGTGTATTTTCTTTCTGATCTTGTTGAATGTCTGATGAATTTGAATTTGATTGAATACCATAACTATCATTTTGAACTGATACTAATGATTCTAAAGTATCAAAATGTTTGAAATCTATGTGAAAAATTTGTTTTACAAACCTTTTGTTTGCATTTTTTCATAAATATTTTTTGGTAAAGACCAATCGAGAGCCATTGGTCGACCTTAATAAATAAATCTAGTATTATTCATTTCATAGAATTATTTATCTTTACCGAGTATTTTTCCACCATTCATTGTTTGTATTGCTTTTTGTGCATCTTCGAGTTTATCGAAAGTTATAAAACCAAATCCTTTCGATTGTCCATCTAAATCAATAATTAAGTTTTTTTCTATTTTTGAAAACAAAAACAGCAATTAACTGACCTTTTTTAGCAATAGATACATTGCTAATTATAGCACTAGATTTTTCAAAAGCTTTTTTCAATTGATCTTCGTTGACCTGATTGTAAAGAATTCATTAAAAAAAAAATTTCAGTTTTTACTATTGAGAAATTTTACTTACTTTGAAACTTAGATTGCGTACAATAATTCGAGGAATACGAACTTCAAAATTTTCTTTCTTTTTTTTCTTTTTCTCGATTTTTCCATTTTCCTTAACCTGTTTCGGTGCCTTGTCTGTCGATTTCGAGTCTTTATTTTTAATTTTCATCTAGAATAAATAAACGTTGCATAAAATATTTCGAGTCAGAGTCATTATATATATATATCCTTTATTCTCTGTTATTTCGTTTATAGAAAATCAACGCCTAGTCAAAAAAAGATCAACCAGAAATAGAGACACACTAGTTAACTAAAACGAAAAATTTACTTGTTTCAGTTCTTCCTTCTGATTAGTAGTTCCATTATTGCTGAAACATAATTTAAACTCTAATCAAAACTAGAATTAAAATCATAATGAATATTGTTCATTTATCATAATTAAATCAACATCGATGGAGTGAATTATCATTTGCTGAATCTATCCAATAAAATATGAGAGCAAATGAAATCGTTATTTGAATGGATGAATGTTCGTAATACATCAAAAGACAGATGGCGCAAACATATAACGATTCTCAAGTTTATCGAGGAATGTCAACTATGCATATGCAGGACCAAGTTGTTATAGTTCCGGTTTCAGTAACTTCTTTTCTAGTAGTCCGGCTCATGGCTTCGACAAATCTAATCTGGACCCGGTTCCGGCCTAGAAGAAATTATTCTAGGAGTTATTCATAAATATCTAAAAACATCCTTCAATACTCCTTCTATGATTTATTCAGTCAACAACTAGCAATTTTTCGGATCACCTCTCTTGAGTTCTGTTTCGATTAATATGGTTTTCTAAGATAATTCGTTTATGAAGGATTTCACCAGCAGATGACCGTCCAAAGGCAAAAGGATCGTTCAGAGGTATATTTTAGATTTTAATCTTTATTATTTAGTTTAAAAATTCATAGCGTGTACAGTAAAACTTCTCTATATGAGCACCTTTATAACAAGGGTACCTCGCTTATATTAGTACCTGGCGAGCCGACGGATCAATATTTTCTGAAAATGAGTCTCTCTAACAAGGGCATGTCCCACTTCTGAGCAGTGTATAATCGAACATCTCTTACATGGGCACATATAGTGAATATTTAAATCAGTACACTGTTTTTTTCCTTCTCGTCATTCTTTGTTGTTCTTTGACTAGGAGAGGGGAAAATTTCCTCCGACGTAAGAAAGAAAATAACTCATCTATACATTCCTGATTGTGCCATCAGTGATAAAAAGAGTATATATAGTCGGGTTACTTGACATCACTGTATAAAATCATTGAGAAATGACGTTGTATCATTATCTTACGGTTAATGAGAAGATCGCACTGATCAATGGCTATGGCGATGGAGCTCGATTATCACAGCGCAAATTGTATGAGAAGTACAAGGTGTCAGAGAGTGCTGTGTACAACATTATTCAACGAAAAGACGAATACAAATACGATTTCGAAACGAATGGGAACAAAGGTGTCAAATACAAACTGCAAGATGAGTCAGATCACAAGATCGATGAAACTGACTGACACTTACATTGATTCATAAACTAACAAGCAAAGCTCAACTATGGATTTTTTTCAAAAAGCTTGATTATAGATAAGAAAATAGAAAACAGAAAACAGAAAACAAACTTAAATGAAGAGAAGACATCAGTTGATTAGAGTAAAATACTGGGCATAGTCGAACGTCTAAAGACAGCTTGCTAATATATACACTACTGGCCATAAATCCCTGGATGTGTGATACTCTCCCATGACTTCAATAATTTCCCATCAAATTTTTATCGTAGATAGAGCTAAAAAAACTGTGATCATCAGAACCGACCTGAGCTCTACCGACTGAGATAGTATGAAGTTATGCTTCAAACACTAGTTTCACCTCTGTTTACCTGTAAACCAATATTCACAGTTTTTATGAAAAACAATCAAGATGTTAGAAGTCTTGTTTCTTCATCTAAATTGTAATTGTGCTGATCTGATGAATTTCAAGCGAAAATATATTGATTCTTATCAGACTATTCAACAATTTTTTTTTTTGTATAAAACTTTATTTTGTACAAAATAAAGACGAAAAACTTAATGTCAATTTTGAATTAAAGGCGAAATGAAAGAAAAAATAATGAAAATAATTTTAGAGATAAATAATTAAGTAATTATATTTTCTTAAAAGAATATATCGGAATCACATTATTATCATTCTTATTAATAGCATTTTTAACTTCCATCAAGTACCTATGAACAAACTTTGTGTGGAATATAATAACTAAATCTCATGTTTAAAATATTATCTCATTGATAATTATCATTTGTTAATTAGGAAAATGTATTTTATCCAAGTGGAAAAGTGCACATTTGGCACCTTAGCATCTGTAGGTACTCAGCACTGTAAAAAATAGGCGTAGAATAATAAACCCTTCAAATCGCTTTTCAATCAAGACTATGTGCATGTGCATTATGCAGGCTCCAACAAATTATGAACATCTTGAAAAGAGCTCATGCTTCTAACTTATTTCTGTAGAAATATTTCATTTTTATGGCATTTTTTTAAGCAAAAAGCGGTGATCCCTCCAGATTCAACTGAAAAAATTAACTTTCGAGTTTCGATTTGAAACTTTGTGCAGAAAAAGCTTTCAATTAAACTAATTTATTCTGAGAATTTCGAATTCTTTCGGTTTCTTTTGTCTCGAAATATGAGTATAAGAAAAAAATATTCTTTTTTCACATCGCTTATAGAAGAAAATATTAGATGTTCATATTTAAGAATAAAAGCAACCGAGATATTTCAAAAATCTCAGAATTAACTCGTTTCATTAAGATCCTTCTCTTCTCAAAGTTTCGACTCAAAATTCAATATTTGATTCTTCAGATGAGCCTGAAAAGTCACGGAGTCGTACTACAACATGTCCTCAACATCGAATATCTCGACAAGAGTTCAATGGCACACTTTTCTGCAACTACTGAAGCTAGATCATAATATGTTCTATCAAATGATAAATTAAAACTTGAATTTAAATTCCGATAAAATTCTGTAAACTAACTACTTTATGAACCAGTGACTATTTTTCACTATACTGATTGTAAGTTTTTGATCCTATTTTAGTCTAAAGAATTTCAAGAAGTCCGAATGGTCTGCAATGTATAATAGATACATAACACTGTATAAGTATATAATAACTAAAGACTATAATTAGATCCTCAATTTAAAACATATATGTTATTTGTATGATCCCATTCATCTTATTCACCTATTTTACGTACTCTGTCGTACCTGCTATTCACTATGTACTCGCTATAATGCAGTATCCAAAATACACTTAAATACAACATCATAGTAGCTTCAATACTAGCTACGATATGAGGTCGAATCTTGAAAATCGATCTTCTCGTTTGACTGCCTACTGTGCCTGTAAGTACAGGACTCGAACCATGTACTTTATGTTATCCGGCTAGATGTTCTATTCCAGTTAGACTAGAAGGGTTATCTTAATTTCAGTTGAGCGTCAGAGTGGATTATAACTGACGCTAACAGTGTCTCCACTTCTAAGATTGCTTACATAATATTTGAAACTCTCAATAGCAAATATGCTATGATTGATCTTTCACTTTTATTCGATGAGACTAGATATAAGTTTGATACCAATATATAGAGAAAATTATTCTCTATTGAACTACATTCTTGGATTTATTCAAAAATTTACAAGTAACGATAGAAAACTTTGTTCAGAATGAAATTGTAGCGACTTCTTTACGGTGTATTTTGCTTCCAATGAGTCAAATCTTGAAACTTGAGCTTGTGCACGACAAACGAACATCTACTGAATTTCTTTATTCTACTTTGACTTGAAAATTCTCAATATTAACTTTAACATAGTGTTTAGCCATGTGACACCGTACAATATATGTATGTATTTTTTTCATTTTTATGATTGGTTTATACGACTGACTAATCATTTTTTGTTTATGTATGGATGGTATTTATAGACGAAAAAAAAAAACAAAAGAGAATTAAAAAAAACAGCAATGGAACTTTCTTCGGGACCACAGAATTTAAATCCAACAATATATGAACGTACTGAAGAACGAATTATACAAGAATCAGATTATGATAATGATGTACGAGATGAAATTGATCGTCGTGAAATATTCGATCTTATTCGAACAATTAATGATCCTGAACATCCACTTACATTAGAAGGTTTTAGGAAAAATTTTGTTCTTGTTTTTTTTTTAAACTAAAATATATATTGTTTATTTTAGAACTTCATGTTGTTGATTTAGATGGAATTACAATTGATAATCAAGCTAATACAGTGCAAGTACAATTTCGGCCTACTATTCCACATTGTTCGATGTAAGCAATTCATAAATAACACATACATGTTTCTCTCTACAGAAATTTGAGAGGAATATTCAAGAATATGTAAGCAAAACATTTGTTTATCTGTATTACAATCTTTTCTCCTAAAAAAAATCAATTATTAATTTTTGTTCATTGTATTTCATGATCTTCAGTGTTTTGGCTCTATCGTATTCACTATAAATGTTTTAAAACCTCTATCCATGCATCAGTCGGTTTTGATTATACGTGTGATAATTCCCGATCGAGTAACTGAACTATTATCAAACAATCAGTTCCTTCACATGAGAGGCCAAGTAGATGATTGTGGATTTCATTGGAACGACCAAAAAGATATGCAAAAATCATTATATCCAACAGAAAAACACCAGAAATCAATAGAACTCGGAGGCAGTGTTTCCAAATTCCATTGATTTCCAGTGTCTTCCTACCGGAATCGGCCCGTATTTTTGTTGACGTAGAAGCTAGTATCACTGAACATCTCATTGTATCTATGAACTGCGGGTTCACGTTTTTATGGACATGAACCCGAGGCTTTTTCAAGAATATCTAGTACCCACTGTGTACATAAATCGATGAAAGATCAAGGTTTCGGTTATATATTAACTACTCTCAAAGGTCAACATTCAGTTATTTCTTGTTGTTCACTTTCCCGTCATTCGATGCTTAGTATATTAAAAGTTTTCGCTTAGTTGATTGGAGTATAGCGTTAACAAATAAGGGAATTGAACAGTTAGTTAACAAGCAAAATTCGTTGTTGACTATTGTCAAAGCAACAAAATTTTCAATTGTATGGAATAGTTTTAGTTATATTTATGTAAACGAAATCAAGCAAGAATATGTTCCATGCAATCGATGTAGAAAGCTACGTATCCAAATTTTTGTGGATCTAACTTGGATCTGGAAGAACCCGCAGCTCCCTAATTGTATTCTTTCTGAACGACACAAGTGCGCTGGAATAGAGCTATCGGAAATTTTAATAATGTGTCATTGTGTTTAGTTTTATCTATCAATATGTATATTAATTATGTTTAAATTTTTTTTTTAATTTCAGGGCAACATTAATTGGTTTGAGTATTCGAGCAAAATTACTTTATACACTTCCTACTCGTTATAAAGTTGGTGTTAATATATTGGAAGGTGCTCATATACAAGAAAATCAAATAAATAAACAATTAAATGATAAAGAACGTGTTACTGCTGCACTTGAAAATCAACATCTTCGTGCAGTTGTTAATCGATGTATTACTACATCTGAAAGTTGAACAAAAGGAATAAAAAACATCTTTTTTTTTTGTTTTGATTATTAAAAAAAAAGTCCGAATGATAATTGAATATTTTTTTATCATTTTTTTTTTCAGATCAAAAGAAAAGAATGACAATAATAGTACCAAAAAATATTTCATCATTAATATGTGCTGGTCGTGTCTATGGATGTATGTATCATAATACATGAAAAAAAAAACGAGAAGATCATATACAACAAAAAGAAATTGATCGTGTTACATATCATGCTATTGATGAAGTTGCTGAATAAGAAAAATCAAATTTGAGTTAGCTCATACAGCTGGTGTTGATCCAAATCAAGCACGTATGAGAAAACAAGAACATGAAGAAAAATATCATTAGGACTTTACATTCTTTTCTTTTAAAATATAGTTATTATATTATCGTCTTTAGTTTCATAGAAAAAAATATTCCGTGTCCTTCTCTCATTTTATTTTTTCCATTTTCAATACTACTTTTCTGTTTTTCTTTTACGTATTTGGATAAACATGAAATAGATGAAGATCATAACCAATCTTTTTCTTGTTGTTTTATTTCGTAAACAAATTAACTAGTTTAGAATAAGTGTTAAGATATTTAAATAGGTTTAATTTAACTATTTTTTAGTTCATTACTAGCATCATTTGTATGATAATAGAATACATCATCTTGTTCTGGAAGTTCGATTGTATTTGAAATTTTTGTTTTAATTTCATTTGCTTCTTCTTTAATAGGCAGAAATATTGTAGTATTTGGAATTATTGTAATACTATCAGAATGTTTTATTGATCGTATAGGAGATTTAATTATAGGTATATTTCCATGAACAGATGATCCACGACGAAATACTAGATCTTGTGGTTGATTTTGAGTTGAAATTAATCGTGTTCGAATTGTTTCTAATTGTATATGTTTTTTAGCTGCATATTCACGATCGAGATATTCCATTTCTCGTCGTCGTTTATATGGAACAAATATAAGCCAAATCATGAGTAATATATGAATAATAATATATATAGTAAATAAACAAATAAATACATATCGATCAATATTAACATAGATATTAGTTGGTACAATTGCACGTGATAATGATGATGTTTTTGAATTAAGAAAAATTAATGTTGCTATAATAGAATGCCATACACAAAGTAGAACTAACATTATAATTGATATGATTGCATATTTATCGAGTGTTGTTAGATAAGATATTGTTGGCTATAAGATAAAACAAAAAGAAATTGAGATTTTTTCCTTTTCTTTTTTTGTAGTTGAAAAGTTTTTTGTTGTTTTTTTTTACCAGTGAGCGATTTACTACCCAACGAAATGTAACTGATGTAAGAAGAAGAGTACATGTTATTTGAAGACGATTTTGTGGTAAACTAAAATTATATAGAAATGTTGAAGTTGGAAGAAAATTTTATATAGAAATGTGTAGAGAATAATTTACTCTGGTGGAATTGAAAAAATACAAAATGAACAAACAGTTATAAGAAAAATAAGACAAAATCCATTCCAATAATAATAACCAGGTCGACGTGCTTTTAAAAAAGAAAAAGAAAATTTTTTTTTTGTTGTTATATTAATATCAAGAAAGAATAAGATATAAACCTGCGCGACAAGTAAATGCTAGAACAGAATGTTTCTTTTGTTCTATTCCACTATTATCATTTTCAAATGAATATTCTTCTTGGGTTTGTCTTGATTCAGTTGCAACATGTTCATATAATTTCCATTCTTGTTGATCAAAAAAAGCTTCACGATTTATACTCGAACGTAATTGTTCATCAGGAACAAGTAAACAATTTTCAATATGATGCATAGTTGATATTGAAACGGTTAAATCTTGAACATCAGCTGGAAACTAAATAAAAGAACAAAAAAAAAACAAAATTTCTTTTTTTTTTTCAATTTTAAATATCCTTCATTCCTCCACTACATACATGATTCAATTCCAATTTTTCCCAAAAAACTCCTCTTATACGTCGATGTTCACATATTTCAAGTCGAATCATTGATGGTGATAAAGGTTCATGATTTCCTATGATGCTTTTCTTTATTGTAAACCATGTATCTTGTTTACCAATTTGTCCAATTTCATTTTCAATAAATAATTGTGGTATCCAATAAATTTTTGGATTAAGATCATTTAATCGTATAGGAATATTTTCATTTAATAATTGTGATCGTTGTTGTTGATCTAAATCTAATGATTTAATACTTATTAATTCAAACCATCTTGCTTCATAATAAATATCTGCTTGATATTTTTCATTAAGTGTATCAATTTCGGCTAGAATTTATTTAGAAATTTCAAATAAATAAGAAAATTATTAGGTTTTTCTTTTCGTTTTGCATACCTATATGAATAAAAATTAAACGAATTCGTACAATACGAATATTAGTCTTGTGTTCTGGAACTTTAATCATTGGAACTGGTACAACATGTGATAATGATCTATGACGACAATTTAAACGCTTAAGATAATTATTTCCTATGTCATTAGTTTCATTTGAATGTTGAATTTTTTTTGATTGACAAATCCGATGCATAATTCAAAATTAGTTATTTTATAATATACCACAAATAAAGTATTTGTCAAGTTTTAATGAGCAAAAATAAAAGTAAAACGACACTACATATATATACCATCGATCTGCTTATTCATCATAAAATATGAATTTCATAGGCAAATACATTTGTATAAATTCAATATATTTTTGTAGTGAAGTTGAAATTTAATCCTCAAAAACTTCATATTCATCGGATGTTGAGGGTGTTAGAAGAAGAACAAAACATTTACCTTTAGTAACGAACTGACTAATATCGCGTAGGTGAAAACAAATAATCCTTATGTTTAGTTCATTTAAAGGTCAAAAAAGCAACATGCATATTGTTCTTCTAGATGATGTATCGATAAATGTATTCTCACCTGTATCTTCTTTTTGGTACTGTCTTTCATTTTCTTATTCTCGTCCAGAAATTAAAATCTAGAGATTTTTATCTTTCTATATACACAAACATATGTGCAAAATGTGAATGATTTATTTTGTAGATATGAATATCCTAGGCAAACTTCTTCCAACAACTATTGATTTTATAACATATCGTTCATTTAGGTAAATCAAAAAAATTTGATCTTAAAACAATAAACAAAAAAAAAAACTTTTTCATGATTTTTATTTTTCTAGTATGACGGTACCATTATATCATCTGCAAAAAGTTAGTCGTGTACATGTAGTTGATAACAGTAAATTAGCTTTAGATGGAAATGTTTATAAACGTATGCCACGTATAATACATTGTTATAAAAAAAATAATAATTTAACTCGTACACGATTAACAGCTGGTCTTGGTGATAAAGTTTTATTAGCAATTAAAGGACAAATGAAAAAAGCAATTATTGTTGGTTGTCAACAACGTATACGAAAACCGAATGTACCACAATTTGATAAGAATAATGTTGTATTAATTGATGATGATGGAAATCCAATTGGTACACGAATACTTGCACCTATACCAGCATTTTTTCGTACACGTGGTGATTTAGCTAAAATTGCTGCTATTGCTACTACTTTTGTTTAATAGAATAAATAATAAAAAAATTAACTATTATTTAATTTGCCAAGATTTTCGATATTAATTGAAAATGTTAAGGATATGTTTATTTGAAAAAATATTTTGTTTTGTAACAAAATTTATTAATCTATGTCAATAGAAGAGTTTACTAAGACATTACACAGGTGTGTATGTCTAGATTAAAGACACATATGATATTTATTTGAATGACTGAGAGATTTATGATAAAATTTTTATTAATCTTACTAGTAGTTGAAATATTTTCGAAAACGTGATATGTATATTTGAATAGAAAACATAAACATAGATAAACATATTCAAATTTAATAAGATTTGATATCTTCGAAAATGTAATTGCGCATTAATGTGAAAGGTTTTAGTGAAAAACTCTGTTTGATTAAACATAACAATCAACAAATTTACAATATAGCAAATTGTGTTTGTTATCTACTTAATTCTTTTGAAATTCTGTTTGTAAAGATAGACATGATTGAAGAACTTCGTGAGTGTGGGTGTTAATGTTCCCTTCAACCCAGATCCACACCCGCACCCTGTTTAAAACAACAAATGGCGGTAAGGTCATTTTTTATTCCTCGATATATTTGAAAAAAAATTATATGGTTAAAATCAACATTAAATTCCGAACAGTGTACTATTTTATTTTTTTACCTAGGTCAAAAAATTTTTTTTCGTCAAAGTTTGGTGATCTGTAGACTATCGACACTACTGTTGGTTATTTTTATCTTTGAACTGATTTAGACTCTAAGTACTGATTGGAGAACAAGCAAAAAAAAGTTGTCAATTCTTTTTTGCTAGAGGGATATTTCACAACTATTATTAAGTTTTCATCTGATGAGTTATATACATATCGAAAATAGTCATCTATATGCTGACTATACGATTTAACAAATGAAATTTTTTTTCATAGAAAAAAAAAATCGTCGAAATACTGATAAACTCTAGTTTAGATATCTGCTGAGACTAAAATTTACATTGTGAAAGCAAAACTGTTGATCACTATATGAACAGTGCTAATCCCAGACGTCAGATAGAAATCATTTCGCTAACGTCAGAGGCTTGTTTTTGTTTTTTACTGTTTTCATTTAGCAAATATTATAAATCTACTATAATGTTGAAATAGAATGATAGCATCATAAGTTGATGTGCTAAAAGTAAATCAAACAAATGAAGTAAGGAGTCCATGTCTATGAGATGATGGACATCTCTAGATATAATAATAAGAGTAAAATATCATGATTTCAAAGTTCTCAGACAACTAAAATATTTTCAATAGAGAGGATAGATCAGATAAATTACTTTCGACTTTGAAAGAGAGTCCTAGGTAGGTAAGACAAAACTCAAAGAAAAAAGTGACAATCGTGCTAAGATATATAAGAAAATAGAATCGCTATTACTGTCGTTCGACCCTAAGAATTTAACTAATTGATAAAATAATAATTTACTCCAGCAATAAAATGATTGTTCAGTCAAGACTAGGGATGCACTAATTCTAATTCTAGACTTGAAATTGGCATGGATTAGGGATAGAAAGTCACCGTTAGACAGGCAGCTTTTTACCAGTTACTCGGTAACTGAGTAACGACGAAATTCTGGATTCGGTTCTTGTCTAAAGGAGAAGAGTTTTAGAGTAAATAACGATATTTTAGGGTGTGGACATTGTTTATTGTTCACACACATCCACACTGATAACTGTATTTTCCAAAAATTGCTTTAGATTAATATACTTCGTATAATTGAATCAAAGAAAAGAAAGTATCAAAGAGGA